TAACACGTCCTCGTTACCGAGAAATGCGAGTGCTCGCAGAAAAGAAACGGTAAAGGAGTACCATGGCAAGAATAAAAGAAGAATCGTTGTCAGCTACGTGGGAAACACAAATTTTTTGAAAATCCGGCTAACGGTCAGTTCGCACGTATTATATCGTCTTCCCTTTACAAAGTGTGTTGCTTCCATAAAAATGAAAAAGAAGAGGATACAAAGGATGACCGTAAGCTCGTAGATAGGTAGACTCTCATGGACGATGAAAGGGATGCAAATGAGAGCGTTAATCGTCGTTATGGATATTCGTAATAAACTCGATGCAAGGAAAATGACTTTCAATCAAAAGATTACGTTTTATCGCTTAATGCACCAATATCCATTCATACTTAAACTTAAACTTAATTTGAGTTAGCCTTATTAATGAAACCTTAAGTTTGTCTAACGTTATTTATAAAGCTTTAAATTGACCTAACCTTATTTATAAAATCTTGAGCTGGTCTAACCCTATTAATAAAAGCTTAATTTAACCTAACCTTATTAACAAAAGCTTAATTTGACCTAACCTTATTTATAAAAGCTTAAATTTGATTAACATATGTTAGGTTAAGCTTAATCTAACCTAACCTATGCTAGGTCACTTTAATCTTTTATAAGTAAAGTTAGGTCAAATTAAACTTTTGTTAATAAGGTTAGGTCAACTTAAGGATTTAAAAATTAGGTTAGATCAATTTAGGGTTTTATAAATTAGGTTAGGTCAACTTAAGCTTTTATAAATTATGCTAGGTCAACTTAAGGTTCCTAAAACAACCCTATGTTAATTCAACATTTATAAATAAGGGTAGACCGACTTCCAAGTACGATCCTACGCGTAAAACAGTTAGATGTGAATTATAGATAAGTTCAAGTGGACTTTTTCTATGGTGCACTCTAACTAGTTTTTATTCGTAAGAATCTTTTCTTCTGAGAAAAAGACGTTCCATTTAAAAAACAAAATTAATCATTAACTCTTGCAAATGCCTCTACTTCTCAAGCTAATATATACATCATGCGACGCTCCATTTAACACCATTTTGTCTAATGATATTCCTTTCTATTTTTTACAGCTTTACAGTTATAACTTGGTTCAGTTACATAGAAAACTCTGCACTGGTCCATATGCAAACATCAGATTCTTCTGGGGCACAAGAAGTCCAACATTTAATGGGAACATTCGCGGGCGGCAATTAAGCAATACTCGGTTCGTCGGTTACTTTTAATTGTTCTTAACGAGGCTAAACACGGACGTGGTCCACGTCACGGCGCATAACAATGAATAACGGTTGCAGTGAACGAGTCCGTTTACTTTTGTTCCCTATTGTCACCGACAACGACAATAAGCCGACCACGCAAGGGCCCAAGTGCGTATCATTGACGTGCGAAACTCGCGTTTACAAATATAATTCTATATAAATTCACAGAATATCGTGTTTTCTTCGAGAAACGAGTACTTACGTATATTCAAAAATATAACGTGTTTATGTACACACGATAGTATCAATCGTTACGTAAAGAATCGATAGAATATGTAGACAACTAATCGATAGGGGTGCGTTTAATCGAAGATGAACGCGTAAATAAATATCCCTTTAGATTTTTATAGCGACTCAGAATTTGTTTAAATTGTGAGGATAATATAAATTTTATGTATACATTGATCATAATCTCTAATTAACATTTAACAATTAGCGTTATGTAATTTTCATGATTACGTGGTATTCTACGTCTTTGAACAAAAATATATTAACCGAATTTTATAATCGTAAGCTTACTATGTACTAAAAATATAATGTTCGGATATAATATTCTATCTGTCAATAATTGTTACGATTTCCAATTTTGTAAATTTGACAACGCAACTATGGACGCGAAGTGCGTCGAATAAAAAAGCGCGGGTTTCGAACAGCGACGCGAAGTAAGCCGCGGTCCGCGCGAAGCAACGCGCTCGAATTTCGCGAAGACATTTGGAAAAGCATTCACTCACCGTCAACTCGGCATTTCGTCCAACATCATTGGAGTGTCGCCGATGGAAACCCGTCACGCTCGAAAATATCGTCGACACAATCATGCGGGTACGGTGTTTCACTGGTCACGTTTATATCGAATGTCAGAACGACGAGAAACCATAAACATCGCGTAAAAACCAAGAGAAAAAAGTTTTGTGCGTCTCTCGTTACGGGACGATGTGCTCACTATACTTTTTAATATAAATGCAACTTAAGTGTTAAGTTAGATTTGACAGTTAACGCTCCTTTCGAACGATTCGCGAAACACACCTGACCGATGGTCGAACCATACTGAGCCAGTCGCACTCGCGAATCTCCCACTAGATTACTCCTACCCCCCACCCCCTGCGCACTACGCAGGTCAAATCATGCGCGCACCCCTTGGCGGATCTTTTTGAAAAATTAAATATATTGCATATTTATCAACAACGTTTTTATTACTTACACTTACGAAGTTTTTATTTTTAGTACACTTTATTACTACATCTATAAGCTACTATTAGCCTATATCTATAAGTAGATTTGTTTTATGGAACTGTTAATCTTAACTACTATTATCATATTTTATAAAATAAACCAGTCATAAAATTATAAAGTACATGTACGTCTTTTAATTCTTAATCAAGGAAACTCTAATATAATTCTTACATTGCATAATTAAGATAAATATTTTTAACCAGATGACAAGGTATGCTGGAATCACGAGCAACGTTTCAAAGGCAATAAGAATGGCGGAGAGATAAGCAAACCTTAACGCAGCATGAGGAATACCACGCGAATAGAATACGCCGTGAAAGACTGAAACACGATAAAGTACAAAAAGGACCGTAATCGAGAGAAGCATAAAGTACATAAGTATGTATCAGCCTGCAATTTACTGGCCATTGAATTTGTTTAACGCGTAAACTGAATGCTTTCGTCGTGGTCCACGGTTGCTTTCCGCGTGTTTATTCACATATGCATCTACGTATAGGGTGTTTCGTTAACGAACGCAACAAACATTTCTTCTGGGAAAATTTTTAAACTTAAAAATTTAGGAATTTAAAAATGTTCAACTTTGCAAGTTGATGAACTTTAATGAGCATAGAAGTCTTAAACTTTAGTCTTCAATTTTTGGAGAATACTTTCAGAAATGACCTCGCTTTGTATTATTATCCCACTTGTTTAAATTTGTAGAAACAGTTGTGATGGTGGGAAACACCCAGTATGTTTCCCATAGAATCAGGCGCGAACTACTTTCCTTCGGTACCTATGATCTTGCGCTTTAATGATATACCTCTCGCACACTATCGTATACATTATTCCCGAGGGTGTATACAGATTATGATACCTGTACGATTATAAAACCTTCGAGACAGGCAGTTATGAGTCACGCTTACGGTGCACAAGGGACCCTCAGGTGGATAGTATAAATGTTAATATCGCTCGTTTATTATAAAGCGTAGAACGCTACGCACCGTGCCGGGGGCTAACAGAAGATACTATTTATGTCGTTACAACGTGCGTTGCTCCTTTCGTTCGTTTTGTTACTTTCATTGAGCGAAACACCAGAAGCATGTGTTAAAACGCTCGAACCCCCATTACATAATCAGGTATTTTCCAGAAGGTCAAGTAACTTTTTTGCGTTAATTGTCGGATGATTGCACCCTTTGAGGACCAACAACCCGTAAACGTACCTACGGCCGACAATGACGTTGCAAAAAAAAACACACGAACGCTGCTACCCCGATCTCGTTAGACTTTGTGTCTAAAGAAAAATTTCTATTCGTGTGATACCATTTTTTATACTAGTTCAATAGTTACACTAGTAATCATTGTTTTACAGTTTAGTTATAAATACAGTTTAGTTTAGTTAGTTATACTGACAGGTGTATATTTTACAGAATCACTATTGTAATTTTATATTTGTTTCTACTAATTAGGTGGAGGGTTATGAATGTAAAGATCCAACGGCATAAATCTACTCACAGAAATTAAAGTATATCTTCAAATTTTAGAAAGTTAAAAATTTTCAAGTTCAAAAGTTAAATATAAAATTATATAGAAAAATTTAAGTTCGCGTCTGACATTAGCAGAGGTTTAAAAAAATTGATTACCCTTTCTCAAGAAGAGTTTGGTTCGTTCCGGTCGAGACTATAAATCATCTATTTAAACTGCTTATTACGTTCGTTTTTATTGTTCGGTTTCGAAGTGGAAGTTCCTAGAAGAAGGTGAGAAACCACTTTCTCGTTGTATTGATGTCGCTATCACTTGAGAGATCGCCGGTCGAAATACATTTCGTATCGTCGATCAATTTTTCAGCAGCTGAAACAGCTTAATTCAATCGCAGTGGGACAATGTATCCGTTGCAAATGTCGACATTCCCGGCAACGATCTCTTTCTTGTCTGCACGATCCTCCTCTGTGGCATGGCTCTCCCACATTCGGTTCTAACCTGACCGCATTCCATGAAGAATCTGTGTCTCCGCCTATCAGAATGCATTCGCATCGTTTTCGATGCGCGAAACTTCTGCAGCAATGACGCATACATCGTTTGCGACAATCTCGAATCCTTTCTTCTGCGAATATGCGTGTTTAATGGCGAAAAGTCAGAGGATACGTTGTACGCATTGGCGTAACGGAGATTTTTGGGAGTTGAAACCATCACACGTTTTATCGCCATTACTACTGTTTATGTTTCGTATATTCATATTCACTATTTCTCTATTTGGAAATTTTTGTATTCCTAAATTTCCATATTTTCAAATTTCCAAATTTCTTAAATTCTACATAAATTCTTCAAAGTCCCAAAATTTTCAAATGTGTAAATCTTTCAATATTTAATTTTTCAAGCATCCATCTTACCCAAGTTAAAAATTGGAAAACCTCCGAATTTTCAAATTCCTTGCGCGATATACAGGGTGCCTCACAAGTGTAGGTCCCTGAAATAGACAGTGAATTCTGAATAAAATTTTCCTTTGCAAGAATAGGGTTTGAAGCTCCATTTTTGAATTAAGGAAAAACATGGACCAATTATATTGCCACGCGCTATATCCCTCCATTCAGATAAACCTGCTTTCTAGGGGGTCTCGATGCACATCTAGTTATGCAAATGTTGATAAATACCACCGCAGAATTTATATCATTGAAGACTCAGTAAATTACAGAGACTGCAATAACACTATTATCACATAACTGATCAATATACAATGTTTACTTCGAAATAATAGCTTCTGTATATCTCTATGTCCAAACAAATTGTTCTCATTTTCTGCTCAAGGTTGGCTACCACATTTATTTGAAAAGTAATACAAGTTGGTTCTAAGAAGTTTTATTAAAGACGTCATAAAAGTCTGTGCAAATCGCAGAGAGAGTCTGCGAAGCACAACGCGGCGGTATCGGGTAACAAAAAACAAGAGCAAAGTTAAATAACTCATGAAAGCAGCTCCGTACGATGAAAATAAAATACAATTTCATCTTAGTTCGCTCGTAAAAACCGTTCAACGGTTTAACCGACGAAGTGAATCGTCAGCTTTTTTCGAGAAGGGATAATGTCATAATTAAAATGAATAATATGTTCGCGACACTGTTCTTGTTTCTCGTCTAAGAGATTACGGTTGGGTACAGAAGGGACTCTACGTCACTTCCTGAGGAACACGGTCACGAGAAATTGCGGTCTACGAAAGAACTCGATAAAGCCGCAAACCGCACGATTGTCCTTGATAACCGGGTAATGTATTTCAGTGAAATACTTTCCATTTGTCATCTCCGTCGAAAGGGATAACTACGTTATTTCCGTGAGAAGCTTATTTTGCAAGTGTCATTTATCCATTCGCGGAAACCAACATTTTATTTACAATAATATTCTACGAATTGTACAAATATTTACGAAATAAGCAACTACATTGTTCACAAATAAAAAGGAATTTTTTATCCAGTAACAATTTGTTATGATATTAACTTCGACCTATACTGCATAACACAAAATCAGCACACTGTATTGAAATGTTAATAACATACACATTTAACAACTTTATAATTTATTATTACAGTTGAGATGTCTTTAGAGTCCAAAATATTTCAGAAAATGTAAAATAAAATCATCGATTGCACCTGAAAGTTAAAGATGTAAACAGAAAGTTAGTAGAGAAGATTGGCATGTGTTCAGACAGTATACAATACAGCAGGATTTTATTAATTCCGAAGACGCATATTGAGTGTTCGAATAAAGAGAAGACAAAGGAGACAAGTTTCCATGTAACCCTTCATCTTCTCCCTCCAATTATCGAAACGCGACTTTGATGGCATTTCAATCGCCACGGCGCCTGTATTACGCGAAGCACGAAGAATCTTTCGTGTTAAGAAGGGTTCGCACGCGCCCTTTGTTCGTCGATGCGTACACGCGCTTCGTTTGCATAAAACGCGTGGATGACTCAGTGTCGCCTTGCGTTGTATAGTGTGAGCATAACGCAATGAACGCACCTGCTTTAAATTCATTGGCGTAACTATTATAGATAGGAACTGGGGTGGTCCCCACTTCACGCGCTTAAAAATATGGACCTCCCCATTTGGCTTAAATTAGGTTATTTAGCTTGCTAATAAAATATACTTTATACTTAGTAATAGGAAAATACAAAAATTTAAAAAATTATGAAGGTTCAAATTATCAAGTATGTAAATTCTCAACTCCCAAAATATTCAATTTCTAAGTTCTAACTTCTTGGAATTTTAAATTCCTAAACTTCTACATTCTCACTTTGCTAAGTTCTCAAATTTCTGGAACCTCAATTGCAAGATTTCCAAAACCCTGATTTCCAAAATTCCTCTTAATTTAGTGTGTACCTGTCGATAGACGTAGAGTCTATCAAACATCCAGCAAAAAATTCGCGTTACGCCAGTGTATATCCTTTCTTCCGGCCCGTGAATTTTCTAACGCGCCTGCAAGCCGTGGTCATCGGCATTAGACAGTCGATATTCCCGCCTCGTGCGACCGGAACAATGAAAATCCAGTGGAATACAATGCGAGTCACGGCGGCCATGCGGACACGCGGCCTCGCCTGTATGTGTCTCAGAATGTCTCACACAAAGACGAAAAGGCGGAAACATCGGAGACGATAATAACAGAAAGAAAAGGAATCAATAGCCAAGAATCAAAAAGGAGAAAAGAAAGGAGTAGCAAAGGAATCGACGATAAAGCAAAGGGCAGAGCAACGTGCACGCATGATTTACGTGCATGGACGATCGGCTGCATAATTTATCGACGGATCGAGGGCGCATGCGCCGTTGCCCCGTACGCGATTACGCATGCGCCGTTGCCTCGTACACGATTACGCATGCGCACTGACCAAGAATACGCAGCCTCTGCGCAATCGATCACTGTCCACCTCGACCGATGACGTTAATGAGGACGATCGGTACTTAGCGATACTTTAACCTGCTAGCCATTGCGGCCGATTACGTGTGCCGTTTGTTTGTGCAACGGAGAAATCATCTAGCCCCCATGAATAAAGATGTTGCGTATCTTGACGAGGGTCGGGCGAAAATTTCGAGCTACTGACTGGGCGTGTGCTTCCTTTTTTTATTTGCAATTTTAATTCGCGATTGACCTTCGACGGATTAATCAGCGAACGCGTGTAGGATGACAAGTGGCAACGACGTTTTCTTATTGTTATCATAGGTGGGAAATGAAGGATTTTATTCTGTACAATCATACTTAAATTTTTGCAAAATTGTATCAGTTATAAAACTTGATATATGAAGAAGTGTTGTTGTCATTCATTTAATGCCCAGTCGTAGCATTTTCAGTTGTAAAATTATTTAACTAACAATCATGTTTGACCACGACGTGCTAATTTATATAAACATAAAAATTGTTATTACAAGCGTATAACAAACAAGTCATATCCTACGATGAAAACTATATATTCTACATAAACATGATCGATGCAATCTGCAGCAAATAATGACCACGTAACATTCTCGCTGATCCACGAATCCGATGGTACGGCAAGCACGATGTTTCCTAGCAGCAATAGCGATCGATAAAGATCCGCAACTGTGTCCGGGAATTAAAACGAATCCGGAAAATGTTATCTCGTTTCGTACAACCGTCAACAAATAAATCGACGTGCACCTCTTCGCAGAATAAATCGCACGCGATCTTTATTTGTTTAGCAGTCGCGAATGAGACGTATGTACGCGCAGGAACGGTCGTCGAAAAACACGGGAGGAAACCACGATCGATCAATGTCATTCTACATGATCACACGGATGAGCATGATTGGCACACCAGTTCACCGCGGTAGCTGTTTCAAACGTTCACGAGGGAGAAATAATCTGTTTACCGGAAAGAATTATGGCGAGGCGTGAGCTTTCGCACGGAAGTGGTCATTGAACGACAGACGTTCGTTTAATGGCCTTGCGACGGCGACAGAATGCAAGTAGTAATTGAACACCGTGCTGAAGCGGGTATCAATCCTGCGGTTCGTTCATCAAAGATTATTTTACACTTCGCTATATATTGCCGTTTGTAGGTGGACATGTGCTAGAGGGGAGCTGTGTGCGAGGAGTGAGGACAGTTTTATGGAGAGAAGAGTTGAGGGATTTGGGGATTTGGAGAGGTGGAAATTGGAGAATTTGAATTTTTAGGGATTTGGGATTGGGGGATGTAGAAATTGAGATATGTGGGAATTGGGGAATGTGGGAATTGGGAAATGTGGGAATTGGGGCATGTGGGAGTTGGGGAATGTGGGAGTTGGGGGATGTGGGAGTTGGGGAATGTGGGAATTGGGGAATGTGGGAATTGGGGAATGTGGGGATTGGACAATGTAAGAATTGAACAATGTGGGAATTCGGGAATTTAGGAATCTGAGTGGGGAATGTGGGAATTGGGGAATGTGGAATTTGGGGATTTTGGGAATTGGTGAATGTGGAATTTGGGGAATTTGGGAATTGGGGAATGTGGGATTTGGGGAATGTGGGAATTGGGAAATTTGGAATTTGGGAAATTTGGAATTTGAGAAATTTAAAATTTGGGAAATTTGGAATTTGGGAAATTTGGAAGTTGGGAAATTTGGAAATCTAGAAATTTGAAAATTTGATAAATTACAAATCCCCAAAAAATTTCAAACTAATCCCCAAAAAATTCCAGATAATTAACACCAGACACTTACATCTAACACTCTAAAAAAAAATTAACTCCTAAGCACTAACAATTATCAGATAAACCAGATAAGGATAACGATAGCGCTGTAAAAAGAAGAATTAACTGCAACAGCAACGAGTAGCATAAAGAAGTAAAATCCGCAAAAAGTGTGGTTAAAAATGTCAACAATCTGGAAGTCGCATGAAACATTCATGGGCTGGTCAAATGAATCTCGGACAATGAGTCGGAATTTGTACCCGTGCATATCTTTGCCTATGGTTAAGCTACACCCACGACTTGCTACGAGCTGAACGATAATAAAGCTTCCGGTCTGGTCGCGCCAGCCGCAGGGACAGAAAACAAAACGCCAGAGGGAGAGAAAATTATTATTCCTATACCGCGCGGCGCGTGTACAGAGTTAGGTACACGAACCGGATGCAACGCGTTTGATTTACTTCGTCTACACCTGGCCGTCATCAACCCCTGGATGCGCCCTTAATTAGCTTCCATTTCGATTGCAGTTTATTCTTGGCAAGAAATCTTGCTTTATTTGTTCTTTTAATTGGGTCAGTTTATCTTTGATAAAAATTATGAAATGACTTTTTTTTAAATAGGGAACATTAATTTAATGGGGAATGTTCATTTCATTTGAGAAATTATATTAGTGCGATTTGAAGAAAATTTTGGGGAGTGTATTTGGTTTTGTCGATTGACAGAATTTTTATTGGAAATTGATGTGCTGTTAACAATAAAAGTGGTAGAATTTCAATTTTTTTATTAGTCGAAGAATTTCTGTTTTTCACATTTTATGTTTTGTAAAATAAAGTACCTTAAAATGAGTGAACTTAACCTAACCAGAGGTTTTTGACTCTTAAATTAAATTTAAACTAAGTTCTTGTAAATATTCCTAGAAATTTCACGAACACTTATGCAGTCATAGTTTAAAATTATTGTTTACTGTCAATGTTTTATATAAAAAACAATGTGGATACAAGAAAAATGTTTATCATGAAATGCGATAACTGCGATTACTCATAATTTCTTTCCACGTGAGATTAGATCTAGCTGTAACTTGCTAGTAATTGATAGTGATCGTTATAACAATTGTTGGTGTCTTTATGATGGAGTCTTTATTTTCAGTAAAAAATAAAAAATGATAGAATCTTTATTTTTTGTAAATAATAAACAATGATGCTGTCTCTATTTTCAGTAAAAAATAAACAATGATGATGTCTTTATTTTCAACAAAAAATAAAAAATGATAGAATCTTTATTTTTTGTAAATAATAAACAATGATGCTGTCTCTATTTTCAATAAAAAATAAACAATGATGATGTCTCTATTTTCGCTAAAAAATAAACAATGATGATGTCTTTATTTTCACTAAAAAATAAAAAATGATGATGCCTCTATTTTCAGCAAAAAATAAAAAATTATGGCGTCTCTACTTTCACTAAACAAAAAATTTTTGTAAGAAAAGAAGAAAGAATGAATCCCTCATTTGTAGTGAAATTACCGAGAAAGAAATGAAAACTTTCATTCCGAGTTACTGACAAGAACTCAACCAAAAAAACAAGATATAAGATTTACGTAAAATAAATCCAACGCCGCAGGTAAACTTACCCCCTCGCTCTGATCGAAACTCGCGGGCTTAACATCGGCGAGTGTAACGTCCACATAAAAGACGGAATTCGTTTCCCGGCGAAACTGCATGATTCCGTTGAATCAATAACCTGTTGCCTCGCCGTAAAGAACAATGAAACTCATTTTCCTCATTCCTCATATCATTATTCCCTGAACATCTCTCGCGTTGCACAATTCCTGATTCGAACACTTCATCTTCACGTAAACTTCATGTGTGGAACACTTTAACGAGTCTACATACTTTAACGAATCCACATACTTTAACAAATCTACATTAAACGTACTAATCAAGCGCGCAGTTTCATGTTACATTAGTTAACACGAACGTAAGAACGATTCGAGATGACATGTTTGCCGCGAGAATTTTAAAGAAAGTTACAAGTGTAGGAAGGAGACATTTGGTAGTTCTTTTCGCGACGGTAGCCCCGTGAAAACTGGAAAGCGAAACGTTAATCGCACACCTCTCTCGTTTCTGTACGCAACACACACGTACCCCTACCCTCACAGAAATTCGTTCCTCTCCTCCTCGATACGATAGCCCCCCTAGCAGTCAATTAGTGACTCCCTTAATTCGTCATCCCCTTGAAAGTCACGGTGAAATCATATCGCCCCGAGCTCAACTACGATTACGCGTTATCTCAAAGTACTTTGATATTAAGGGACGCCATGGTGCTTTTTATGATCTTTTTTTTTATCTCAACAATCAACGTAGTTAAATTGTTAATAAAGAATTATAGAGATATGAGGTATTTATAAGGAAATTGTTAGATTTTGTTGCTGAAGCCTCATATGGATAATCAAGTACTCCATCAGCCATGCATATGTTTTTTTTTTGTTTTAATAAAAATGTCACGAAACTATTACAAACTATAATAGAAATGTTACAGAACTGCCATAAGTTACTATTCTTTTAATATTTATTATTATTGCAATTTTAATATTTAATATTTCAATATTTATTATTATATCGATTTACTTTTGTAAAATAAAAATTTTGTACATATTGAAGATTGCGAAAGAAAAATTGTATAAAGCTTATTAGGGTAAAAAATTGTAATGAAATTAAAAATTTGTACAGCTAAGTAAAATTTTGATGAAGGTAAATTATAAGTAAGTAAGATTTTGATGAATGAAAGATTGTGATTCAAAGTAGAATTTGAGTGTCCATTGTTATATAAGGAGAAAGAGTTTATGAAATTATTAGTTGATCTCAAAAAGCACTGGACCGATTTTCACGAAACTTTCACTATTTGCTTTCTTATAATCTCTAAATGATTATCGGCTATGAATCGTTCTGCAATGTCATTGTCATTAGAAAAAGAGAAATAGATCATTGGGTTAAATTATTTTTGCATTGACACTGTTGCGCCGTGAAATCGCTCTTCGTAAAAAGTGTCCTAATAGAAATATGTTTTAAGCCTTTCTCGGAATAATTTGTATTCGAATCGTTGTGGGAAATTGCGCGATGGCAATGATGGTTTTGATGGAGAATTTAGTATAAGTTTACGAAATGTCTAAATTTCTAAATTATTAAATTTTCCAATTCCAAAATTTCCAATTCCAAATTTCCCAATTCCCACATTCCTTAATTTCCACATTCCCCAATTTCCACATTCCCCAATTCCCACATTCCCCAACTCCCACATTCCCCAATTTCCACATTCCCCAATTTCCACATTCCCTAATTTCCACATTCTCCAATTCCCACATTTCCCAATTTCCACATTCCCCAATTCCCACATTCCCCAATTTCCACATTCCCCAATTCCTACATTTCCAATTCCTAAATTTTCCAATTCCCTCATATCCCAATTTCTACATTCCCCAAATCCCAAATTCCCAAAATTCTACATTCCCCAATTCCCACATATCCCAATTCCTAAATTCCCCAATTCCCACATATCCCAATTCCTAAATTCCCCAATTCCCAATTCCTAAATTCCCAAATTCCCCAATTCCCCAATTCCAAAATTCCAAACCTCCAAAGTCAAAAATTAAAAAATTAATCTTTCCAAATGTAAAATCTTCAAGTCATTGCCTTTATCTCAACGATCAAGGATTCTTGGAGTAAACAGTGTTAATTCTAGGTAAATAGTATCAAATAAGTGTAGATTGAAAGTCGTGATAGTGAGTCATTGGGAAATCTCTTCTTGCTACATTTTTTAAGCGAGGAAACAAGTTGCAAATAGAGCATCGTATTTATCGTAACGAAACAATCTTTTCTACTGAATTGCAAGTACTTAAACCATTCATTGAATTTTAATACCAAATTCAAATAATAAACCATGATCGTAAATTTGAAATAAAACTGCAAATTCATTCTGCTACATATGCGTAATGGAAAGAACAGTTGTTTGTAGCGAGAGAAAATTCTAAAGCAAACTTCACGGATTACATTTGTAGAAATGTAGTAGAAAATCGTTTGGTGTAATCATGAGAATAAATTAATGTTTGAAATTAAAAGATCACATCCATAAATGGATATTAAAAATTCCAGTTAGTCTGGATAATTGATTTTGTGAAATTTACGTGTTTTCGAATATATCAAAATGTCTGCTGGCACGGAATTATTAACCACAGCAGAACCACATCTTCTTCCAGGGTAAACAAATTCTGTATTCGATAAATAATTCTAACTAGAGTTATCTTTTATGAAAATATATATTGTCTTTTACAAAAATAAGTAATTGCACATACTTAATGTTTCACTCTTTATTTTTTATTTATTTTCAATTAAAAAATAGCACCCATTTTGTTATTCGTATAAACGTACATGCTAGTAGTTCTAAATATACCACTTTCAGAAAGACATAAATGTTCTACGAAACGATTCTCTCACGTATCATTATCTTTCCCTTTTACAAATATCGTTGATAAAAAAAGAAAGAAAAACAAATCGTTTATTTTAGATACGATGGATATTGTCCTCAATACCGGTACAGATGTGGCGAAACATATGGAAGTCTCACGCACAAGTTGCTTCTTGATCCCACAGTAAATCATGCGGAAACGCTCGTATTATCAAACCGAGTTACCGATGACTACGAAGTATATTAGTCAATGTTTCATTCCTTTTATTATTCTATTTCCGGATACCCACTAATCGCTATTTGCTTATCGTCAGGTTCAAAGACCGCCAAAGAATGACATAGATATAGTAAATGCTCGATACAAAAGGACTGATCCTATTTACAAACATCCATTATTACCTGGCTACGAAGGTACATAAAATATGTATAAATAATTACACCGTATCGATAACAATTTAAGTATGTTCTAGGTTTTACACCTAGGCTGAATGCCAGTCTCGGACAGAGGTACACGGTAGTTGCTACTGAGGGCCTGGCTGAATTTGAGCGACATCAGTTACAAAACAAAGCTGCACTCAATGAACTCAAAAGAGCTATAGACATTCAGGGTGGATATGGCGAACCACGAAATATGGAAGATCGTTTAGTAAGAAAGGACTGCAATATTTTACAGTGCCTTCTAAACTATATCAAATTTGAGAATTTAAGTTTAGCGAACCAAAAGAGTTTGGGAACCACTGAACTAAGAAAAAATATAACACTCTAGCTAACGAAGGTATATCGCAATTCTTATGCAGCTTATCAAGAGTCAATTTAAATTGCCAATGCTGTCGGTGCGGCCAGATTGCGTGGGTGTAATGAGGAATTTATTTTTGGACGAGCAGTATGAAAAACCCAGAGACCACGCCCCTTCACCGTACTTTATGGATAATGCAAATCCGAAGAAGTATTTTATCAGCAGTAAGCCTCTTCTGTTGAACCTGTTACCTTGAATTTGTCTTCGATTGATCCCGCAGCTTAAAAGTCTTGTAACTAATGTCATGGTATGATTCAACTGTTTTACGAAATATTTCATCTTCGACGAGATTGATCAAAATGATTCAAACAATAGTATTTATAAAAATAATTGATTGAAGAAATTGTAGAACAGATGGATCTTACGGAAAGCGAACAACGAATGCGATACTCGTTCATTCGAGAAAAAGTTAGAAGTATGGGACTAAAATGTCTGTTAGATTACATTGATAAGAACGTTTTGATTGTTTAAGGATATGCGGGTCATATACCGTATGGACATTCGCATTTTGGAGCATCGAACGTTCCTGCTACCAACAGCGCTCTTTGCGAATTTTCATCCAATTATCGAAAACGACAGAGCACTGAATGGGCACCCGTAACAATTACACGACCTGATCCGCCACTTCTGATTCAACCAACGACACTTTACCACAAGCACGTTGGAATGCTTCCAAATTACCTTGGTCATGTCCCTGGCGAAACGTTTAGGTGGCTAATTAGATTCGACTTCGACACGTTTTGAAAGAGTATTGTTTTATTTTAATATTCATTACTTTCAGGTTCGGTAAAACCTTCGGAGCTGACACTAAAGATGCAAAACGGTGGCTTCGTGGAGATTTCTCTGCATAAGATGTACGTATGTGTCGCTGTACAACCGTCATATTTAAAAAATTGTACCACATAAAAATTGTAATGCCCGTATACAAATAAATATTATAGATGTGGAAGTTGCATAATGTGCTTAATGTTTAAAATATAACACTAACTTGAACTGCAAACATGTATGGCACTATATTAAAATATGTCTTGCCATTTCTTCTATATCAGTCCATATTACTGTTGAGATTTCCACTTCGTTAAAATTTTAGCTGCCTCCTTCAAATTTTCATCTTTCTATAAAAGAAATAAAAATTGATTATTAACAAAAAGAAAAAGTAACATAAATATTATTTTAAATTAATTTTTACCTTTATGAAACAATATCGAACATTGTCTTCCCCTAAATGCTTATGTTCGCGACTATAAAATGCAGATGGAGGAATTCCTTGAACTCCGACATTTTTCGTCATCCACTTCGTAAATCTATAATCCTTATTTTCATCCGTTTCTTCGTCTAACTTGACTTTATCTTTCAAAGCCGTCCAATTGGCAACCATGAAATATCCACCTTCAGGAATCGTCGGAGACATTCCTACATCGCTGAGGAACTTCGCCATGTAATCTCGCTTTGGTAGTAATTCTTTAGCTAAACTCACGAAGTAACAATCTGGTTGACCAAATCTTTCCAATTCCTGTTCGAACCCAATCGCTACTGCTTCCTAAAATTTTAAACAATATGATAAACTTCTATTCTTAATTTATTTATAATATATGATAAATCTATAATTACTTGAAGTGGTGTTGCACAAGTATATACTGAATTTTGATGAACAACTTGTAAATTATATAATAAATTTGCTGGACCATAGGCCCAACCTATTTTCCATCCAGTCACACTGAATGTTTTACCGGCAGAGCCAATCGTGATTGTACGTTCATACATATCAGGCAACGATGCTAAAATGTAGTAACTATTTAGATCATGGATTTTCAGCATAGCAATTAATGTGTTGTAGTGCTTAATTTTATTCTTACCAATTCTAACATGTTTATATGGCTCATAAACGAGCCATTCATATACTTCATCTGATACCACCAGGGTATTCCATTTTTTAGCTAAGTCAGCAATGAACTGTAATTCGTCTAGGGTGAATACTTTTCCCACAGGATTATGTGGAGTATTAACTATTATCCCTTTGGTTTTTTCATTGAATAAACTTGCCAATTCCTGTTTGTCAAAGACCCAATCTGATGAACTCAGAGGACCACTTGAATTTTTCTAGAAAATATGAAAAGAGAAGTTATACAGATGCTATAAAAAAAGATTGCAAAGACATTAATTAATAAATGTGTACACTTTAAGCTTACGGGTTTCAGAGGAATGAACCTTGGAACTCCACCAGCAGATTTAACCATAGGCACATAACAATCGAAGAATGGTTCAATAATTATCCATTCATCACCAGGTTTGGTGTGACCTTGTAATGTAGCATATAATGCTTCGTAAGCACCAGCAGTTACAAGAACTTCATTTTGTGGATCTAAAGTACGATTTAAAAGCTTAGAATATAATTTTGCAATTACATTTACTAAACGAGGATGACCCTGAAATATTAAAAAGTAACACTTCTCATAAAAGTAGTCATACAAAATAAAATAAATAAGAAAGTATTAAAAGTGAACACTCACAAACCCTCTAGTATACTGATTTAAAAGAGGATTGTCACTTGTGGTTGCATCAGCTAAAGCTTTTGTTACATTCTCAGGAGCATGAAAGTCTGGAAAACCTTGACCTAAGTTCAATGGTTTATACTTTAAAGCAAGCTGAATATATTCAACCCTGGAATAAAACCAATTCATTAAATATATATATAAGTACAAATTTTTAATATTAATTCTGAGGTTCTATTTACCACACTGATTTTTCATTGCCTTTCAAGCGGTCCGGAAGTTCAAATTTAGACATTCCGACAGAATAACTTCTAATATTTTTTAACGAATGCAATGAAATTGATGCTTTAATACCTTCAGAAATACAAAATCTAGCAAGCATCTAAAAATAATCATAAAATATATATTGCAAAAATGCACAAAAATTTACTATACATTATTTCAGTCACAGTAACCAAGATATAATAAATTAGTAATATATATTTCATGTATGTCCTTTGTTTCATTAGTAGTACATGAGTAACATATTGTCAAACACAAATAACAAAGTATTATTATTACAAATAGTTATGAAACCATGGAGAGGATTTGGAAACATACATCTAATAATACAATTATTAAGTAAAATACACGTTTTCTAAAATTATATATCAAAATGTTATTAATTGAACAGACAATACATAAAACTGTAATTGTCAATTTATTATAACTTTAAAGAGTTCTTACCAAAAGAATACGCTAATGTAAAATACCTTACTTTGCCAAATCTACTGCGTAGAATGACTTAATAAGTACATTGCTATATTTTTATAATCCGGTCAAGTGTGACCGCCTGTTTACCGAAACATCTGTACTTATGCAACAAGTTGTTTATTAAAAATAATAGAAAATAAATTCCTAGCTCGGTATAGTAATTTTATAATATGCGGTTGGTACGTTAGACGTTAGTAAACAATTTACAGTTGTTATCAAAGCATAAATAATTTCATATTATTTTCGGGAATGCTTTGATAAAAATCTTTACTAATTACATAATTATAAATTTTCAGATCAAGTAACAGATAAGATTGTAAATATATATCTGTAAGTAATTTCTTAGTACAACATATTTTAAGTAATATGATTTATATTAAAAATTTCCCTGTTGTAAAGACTGAGTTGTATGTAGTAAAACAAATTGTTTAAAATTTTACAAAATAAACTTACCGACAGTAAACATAAACTGTGAACAGGTTTCATTATTCAGTTTTACATTTAAAATTTACAATTTACAAAATAAGAAATATTGCAGACTTTCTCATACTTGAGACATCTAAAACAATTTGTCAATGAATTCTTTTAAAAGGAGTTCAAGGTAGTTCAAAAGTTTTATTTCAAAGTGAAAGGATATTTAAAATTGAGAGAAGCAACATCTTCTGGTCAATTCTTTAAGCTACAAGTAGAGTTACTATATTTAAAATTTCAGAGCATGTATTTAAACGAAATTAATCATGTTTTTTCTAATTTTGCAGAGGCATTGAAAGAAATTAACATTAAAAATGACACAATCACAACACGTACTACAAGAATTATATGAATCTTATACAAAAGCTGCAGTTAATATAATTTCTTATTATGGTAAGTTTTGTAAGGTTAAGTTATCAAACAATCAGTGTTTATTACACTGATAAATATGAAATACAACAAATAATTGTCGAATTATATTTATAGAAATGCCTGAGAGAAAGAACAAATTAAAAGAATTAAGAGACCTTGTGCAGAACAACTGTGTTCAAAATAAAAAGTTAAAATCGGCAGAAACTATAAAAAACCGATTATTAGATATTTATAATGATGAGGATGATGACAGTACAGAAATTGATATCGAATCTATTATACAAGTAATTGTATTTTCACTAGTGTATTAAACTATGATAACCATACTAAAGTACTTATTAAATTTCAGCAATATAAACAAACCATATCGGAAATTGATATAGATGTATCAAATGATGATAATCTTATAGAATTTGATAAACAGGTAGAAGCATTATTAGGTAAGCTAGACCTTATATTAATATCAATAAATACGTTTTTTTAATTCATAGTGGTTATTCAATTTTCTTATTCCCTGAAGATAAAATAGGAAATGAAGCAAATGATGAGGATGCAGAAATGCAATTAACAGGAGGTTATATAAATGTAATTGATCCAATTTCTAAAAAACGAATTGTAGACCCTGTAAAAAATACTCTATGTGGGCACACTTATGACCGTGACAGTATTACACAGATACTAAAAATTAACAAGAAAACAAGGTATATTCTTTATTAGAAAAATTAATTGTTAACCAATAATATTCATCATATATTTTATATTTACAGGTGCCCTGTTGTAGGATGTAAGAGTAAAGAGTTTGTATTGCTATCTCATCTTCGTACAGATATTGTAACAAAAACATATCTTGAAAAAAATCCTGCGTGATCATTGTTGAATTTCAAAATAATAATACAAGTTAACCACTTTTTAATATGTGTCATAGTTAAAGCATATGTAAAATGCAAAGGCACTTTTACACGTTATTAAAGTAAAAATAAATATTTAACATGTGACAAGTCACACACCCAAATACAACATATGTCATGCATTTGAACATAACACATGACATCTTCTAACGTGCTTTACATTGCAAGGATATTTTTCTGATTAGAACGTTGCAGTATGTTGGCCTTGCTCCAAATACCTGCACTTAAGGGTTTATTTTAAGTACAAGAGTACAATTAAGATGGTATTAATATATTGTGATATGTATTATATAAGAACTTTCATGTGGATATTAAATAAAGATACATTTATAATGATATCTTTAGTTTTTCGTATATTATTTTATTATAGAAGAAAGTGTAAAAAAGAAAAACTTTTATAAATATCGAGCACTTGGTGTAATCGAGCGAATACTTTTTTCTTTCACTTTGGCACAATTTAATTTTACACATCGTACATGAAAACCATTAAAAGCAAAACAACTTCAAGTTATAACAAGTTTGTTTAATTTGTATCATCACCGATCGATGATGTCAACGCTTAGGCTATGTTTATACTTACGCTTGTATGGTTAGTTCTAATTCTCTCTCGTGGAAGAGCTCACCGTAGCGTTGATGGACTTAACGTGGACACTAAGAATTGGGACCAATTTCTATTCGCTTTCAAAGATTACGATGAATCGCCTAATTACGATATTACACGTTGGACGCGTCAGTTGCATCTGCAGCAATGTGCATTTGTAGAAATTGGCGAAGGATTTTGTGCTGTAAGCAAATTAAACTCTTTAAATGTTTTCCCATTTGCGAACGATCCTGATGTGAACGATCGCGTAGTACATGGTAAAAGCTACAATCACACACAACGAAAGGCAAAAGTTGCGTGTAATACAGTTCTATTTAATATTTAGTTGTTCGTCGAATTACGTAGCATACCTTCGGAATCAAAGGTTCTGGACAACTCTGGAGTCCGAGAGTTCTTTCTGGGTATCTGTCCTTGTTTGACGCTGCACAACTGGGACCTGTGCTCGCCCGAACTGACCGATCAAAGAAAAACACACTGCACTTTTAACGAGGCCACTCCATATTCAAACACTAGTGCAAGAGTCCACCGACGATTGTGTGATGTGACACTGCTTATCGAAAATGCCGTAAATTGTAATTGCTCCATTACCATAGCGGGCCAGCCTTTACATAAGACGAAAGGTTGTAGCGTAATCAGTACTTATTTTTGTGTCATTGTAGTCAATTAGAATTTCAAATTAACAATATAATTTGTAGGCTTTCCTACGTGCTTTTTGAATCCATTACCAGAATCTCTGTGTTCTCCGCGCAACGTTTGTGGCATCGCACAATGTTCCGCTACTACGATCAAAGGGATACACACCCCTCAGTGCACCTCTAATTGCCATCAGAGACAGCCAGTAATTTACTTTTGCAATATGTGTATTTGCACCGATGTAATAACACATCTGCTTGAAATAACTGGAGGATATTTTTAAAATACAAGTTATTTATAAAATGTGTTTGATCCAATTTTATAAATCAACATAATTTATGGGGTTTTCAGTTCTGCGAAGAGATTGGACCATGGACTTCTATTCCGCCGGAAATTAATTCCTTATGGTCGCGATGGTCTTCCCCGAAATGTAACAACACGTGTGGGAAGGGTTTCATGGTAGCCATAGCGTCGTGCCAAGATCAAGTAACGTAAATAAAAACAAAAGTTTTAGCATAAAAAATGATGACTTATTCGTTGTTTAAAATTGAAATTGTTGGCTACTGCATGCATTTTTGTACATTTTTCAGAGGAAAACCGATGATCGACTGCATTGGTCCAGGATCATTCTGGTGAGACAAAAGTTAGTCAAGGAAGTTGAATTGTTTGATTATGATGAAAGGTGTGAACTTTTCCAGTTGTCCGGATAACATCGGTAAATGTTACTGCGAGGTAAACATCGTCGATGGAATTATGAGAGCGGCCAGGTTCACAGAACCTTGCATTTCTACCGAAGGGTGTACCCCAAGTAACGTTGGTCCATTCACTTTCGAAGGAGAACTCGATCCTGGTAGCAGCATCGACTTCGAAGAAGCTTATGAGAACAATGATCGTGAAAGGTTTGAAGGTACTAACCTATTGTGTTTACTACTGCCATTGGAAAAAACTAGGCATTGGAATTTCAGACCTGAATGAGGTCTTGAAACTTTGGGATTTGGTGAATCTAAGATTCTGGAACTTTGGAATTTGAGCTCAAAATTTTATTTTGGCATTTTAACTCTTGAGAAGTTTTTGAATTTTTATAATTTGAGGATACCTAGAGATTAATATTGTTTCTAAATTTTTGCATCCAAATAATACCAGTCAACAACACATAAACAAGTTCCCACGTATAAAGATAAATTCTAACTAAACCATCATGTTTTCAGATGCGCTCTACTACCCAGAATCAGTACTCCCAGCTAAACGTCATCTCCTTCAAGCGTACAGCCGTCGTAGTGTGCAGGAACACGAGTCATGCAAAAATAGACCATCAAAGGAAAACTTTAAACACAATCGGAGATATCGTTCCATTCTCAGAAGTCGATTGAACGATGATGCCAACTATGACCAGCTGCAAGAGGAGGAGGACGAGGAGGACGAGGGAAGAGACGAGGACTACGGCGACAATGACGAAAGGGCTGACGACGAAGAAGACGAAGAAGACGAGGACGAGACGGTGAACGACGAGGAGGCAGCTGGCCATTACGATTACGGTTAGTACTTTAGGCGCGAATCTCTTCCTGGCTTTTCTAGATCGGCTTGAGAGGCTCCGCGAAGGGTCGTCGGAGCCCCGGGAAACGTATTCGTGAGACGAAGTCCGATTACGCGGCGGTTGTGTTCGAGGGTAGGCCAGAGGTCGACGAACTCGAAATGGCGCCTACGGAGATCGGATCGGAGGACTGTGATGATGAGACCACGGAACCGCTGCAGTATTACGATTACGGTGAGGAAACCGTCGGGGAGAGTTGCGTCGAAAATTCTTGGCTTCGTTAAAAGCCCTCGACTTCCGTACCTATAAAACAAGAATGTTCTTGAGAAGTAGATCTGCATATCAGCAGAGGGGAACACTTTGAACTTTAATGTATCCTGTTATTAATCATTTGACTTTGTATGCAAATAGTTCATTTAATATATGAACATTTTATTAATTTACTCTTTTATTATTGTACTATTAATGTATTACTATTTTACTATTTTACAAATTCAGAAATTTAGGAATTTAGTAAATTAGTATTTTTAAAATAACCTAACCTAACCCTACATAATCAAAACGTTTATACAATTTTATATATATTTTTTGTTTCTGTTTATAGATTCTGGAGTAAATACGTTCTTCAATATACAACTTACGTTTGCCTTGAAACTGGTAACACTAAACATTGTACTTTGGTTCTCTTGACATCAATGAAAAAACGCAACGAAGATCAAAGATAGTTATGTCCCTGGTCGTGAAAGGAGTATAATCCAGAAGTTCTCTGATGCAACAGAAACAATGAAAATATATCTCAATTCAAAGTATAAGTACTGAATTGTAAAACGTACCATGTTTTTAATAAATATTATTGCAGAACCAATGTTAATATGTGATAAACATTTATTATGTGACCATTATATATTCGTTATTTAATTAGAATTTATATAAAATTAATTAAAATTTTCATGTATCTTTCATGTAATGATTACCGCAATTATGTATTAATATTTATGTTACTTAAGAACAATGGTCAAATTTAACAAGTGGCGCGAATTAAAATAAAAAACAAAAGAATTACACGTTTTATATAAAATTATTCGTCTAAGCAATCTTCCAATTATTTTAAGTAACAATGTATGAAATTCGAAGTTTCGTGATATTCCAGTGAGAAGAAACAATGAACGAGTTAATTGCAACATTCGTTCGCGAGCATCGAAGCTACACGCTTCTGACGGTTACTTTCACCGGTGATTTAAGTTACCGAGAAAGTGAACCCTTAGGTGTCTCACAATGACCATTGTTTTATGTATTTTTTTTCTGCTTTGCTTCTCGCGAATCGTTGAACGTTTCTTTTAATCTTAATTAGTTTATCGCTTTAAAAGAAACAAGAAAGTTAAAGCGCGGGAAATATTAAAGTGCGTCAACTGTTTATATTATTCTATTCTTTGTGCACTTCACTTTTCACTCATATCACATTTATCACTAATGCTATGCGGAGATAATTTTAATAAATTTAAATCTAATATTACATAGCACTTCGACGCGTTCAAATTTCGACGTTTCGAATCGACTCCTGGTAGCCGGAAAACATGAACGTAGAAGAGGTATGCGAGTGATTTGCGCGCCAAGGAGAATACGCGCCTCTGACGTCACTCGGAAATTCAATATGGCGGCGGAACATGAATCAATCAATTTTAAGAAATTAATATTTATATATAAGTTTTGCAATAATATTTTTACAATATGTTATAATTAATTACAGGTAAAATATTTATGAAAGTTATATTAGGTTTAGTTTAGTGTACACTCTTTGAATACCTCCTATACTTTTATGTTATGCTGTTATATTTTTTTAGTTAGAAGCACATAACACTAGGTGGCGCTACAGCAATTTTAAAGCGCGAAATATAAATGAATGAAGAACTAAATTCATTTCAACATGAATTTGTATTAATATTATTAACATACATCAATATTATCAATATTTATAATGTGTATAATATTCATGTTAATATTTACTATTTTATTTCAACGATACCTTTTCTATAAAATAAATTAAAAGACGTTCGAATCTAAAATGCGCTGTAGAGTAATTTATATCCCTTGCACTTAATTTCATTCAGTAAATAAAACTGACATGTGCAGTGATTAAAAGTAAACGATGATCTTGTCAGATGATATTTCTATTTCACTTTTTAACTTAAACAGAGGAGTGTTGACCGAGAAAGAGCCTAAAAGGCCTTTAATTGGATCTGATCGACTTAATTAAGACAATTTATGCGGACGTCAGCCATTTGTCGAGAAATACACCCCATACTAAAAGTACTGATCTACGATATTAAAAATGTTTAAAACAATATTCCATTCACTTATAATGTAAATTAAATCCGATTTCCTGATAGAGCAGAAATCGTACTCCTGATTAATTACAGCCCAATTAGGATCAATAAAAGTCATGATCGCTACAGAGATTATCTATAATTTATGTGCAATAAAAATAAATGTTCACTTTTTTATGTAATAAATATATAAATTACAATGATATCTAATAAAAAAATTACAAATAAAAGTACACACCGTGTTATATAAACGGTACAGATGAAATAAAACGAATGTAACAACGTTGCGAACAAACGTTACTGTCACAGAATTGTATTATTGTCAACGCACATGAATGCCGTGGTGAATAATGATCAGTATGACTCGTTTGGGTGTGTGAAAGACCCGTTGAATATCGTATTAGGTAAAGTTAAAAAAAGTCACGACACGTGTAACACGATTCCATCTTTCTGTCTCCTAAATCTGACTTGTTTATACCATAATTGTCGTAATCAAGTTAATGTACGTGATACGTATCTAAACTCGTGTTAATCCATTAAAAACCTCATTACAAATTAGACAAAGTTACTAATTTAAATATTTGAATATACTTCGATTCTGAAAAATTTGAATTGCAAAAATATAATGATAAATAAAATCATTCATTACTTCACGTCTGAATATACCCAGAAGGCTATTTATTCCAATATGAATAAATAGTATCCAATCGAGTACGCGAATTTATTCGTGAATCGTAGATAAATTTCTGAATTCATGAATAATGAATGGTGAATGTATAATTTGCATAGCTAATTATTCAAGCGAAATGGATATCTAAATTCTCACTGGACAGCAGCACATTTGTTAATGACAAATGCATTATTGATAATCTCCGTTACTCTTACGGCCAATTAACATTCTACTTGTGTTTAAATTGCAACGAGGCAAAAAGATTAAATTGCTTTCACTCGTGTGATTTAATTGTAAGTACCTACTCTATTGTGTAATATTCCGGCATATCGTTTGATCGTTCGTGTTAGCAGCACAGGAAGATAGACGTTAGAGTGTCCCACATACCAAGATGCAGAATCGTTTTTGTACGTGCACAGATATCACGTAATATTCTGAACGGGAAAGATATTCAATAGGCGTTTTCCAAGGTGCTTCGATAATTAATTACTAACTGCTTGATACTGATACCCGTTATTTCCGTTCTTATGTTAGCAATTCATATATATATATTTTCCGCTCTGACTCGAAAAGAAACTGCGAGGAACGGTCAGTTAAAAAACACGTTAAAGCTACATATGTTACGTACAGGTTAGTTCAGATCTGACTTTTTAATTTTTGTGTTCTTCTTTCTGTAGATAATCGTTTCAAGCTACTTGTACGGCTTTATATATTACACATAAACGTATTTAATTCCTAACTTACATTTATTTATTAGATATTATTACAAATATTATTATAACTTTTAGTTTGTAATGTATTTAACTTAATTTTCATTGTATGTTAATATAAAAATATGAATCAATGATATTTTATTTGATAATAAATTTTAAGGGTTAAAATCATAAAATACTAGTAACTTAAATTCTTTTCATAGCTCCAACTGTTTCTAAAATAAAATGTTACTCTTTTCGAAAATTTAAAGGATCCTGGGGTTCCTGTATGTCTCTGAGAAAAGTCGCAATTGAAAATTGAGCTTCGAAGCGCTTGAATTAAAAGTAAGAAATATGATCAACACAGTGTTTCGATGAGCGCAGCGAATATTTGAATGAGCACGTAACATTTCGTAGACGACGAGACGCGATACGACGCGAGTGCCGATTTAATGAATGACAGCGGTTGAGAGGCGTGTAACGTAACCCTGTTGCTCGCAAATTAGGAAATTAAAGTCACTTAGGGAAACTAGTTTCGAATAAGTTTCGGATGAGAGCTATACTTATCGTTTACTTTATCGATCAACTTTCTAAACCATCCACAGGTATCCCTGTAATTTGCGTTCTAATTACATTTCTTTAATGCAACGATTGATCGTGTGATTAATTTGTATCATAGAAAGGACCATTATTGTAATTATTTTATAAAAAGTGATTGATTAATATATTGATGATTTGTTACATATTAGGTGTAGACACAAGATAATTTTTTATATAAACATTGTTTTATTTCGATGGGGTTCTAAATGAAATATGGAACATGCACGATGAAATTAGGGGAGGATAAGTCATCACTTTACGATGATTGTAAATGCAAACGGCAGCTGAGGGGTCGAAATACTTTTGCATCCCTTTCATAGTAAACATACATTATGGTTGAATCGTTTATAACAAGCAACGCCGCTGTTCGCACCTTCCGCAACGATTTACGACTTGCAACCATTGGCGTAGCTAGGATTTTTTTTAGCTTGGACCAAGGACCCTAGTTGTAACAGTAGTATGGATATTTTGCAGGTTTGATTTTTGGTGATTTGGGGTTTTGAAAATTGGGAATTTGGGGATTTTAGGTTTTGGGAATTTAGAGGTATGGGGATTTAGGGATGTGGGGAATTTAGGGATATGGGGATTTAGAGGTGTGGAGATTTAAAGATGTGAGAATTTAGGGGGTGGGAATTTAGGAATATGGGGATATGAGAATACAAGAATTTAGGGATATGGAGGTACAGGATATAGGGACTAAGGATATGGGAATTTAAGAATTTAGGAATTAGGGTGTTAGAGATCTGAGAATTTATAAATTTAGTCACGTGGAAATTTGAGAATTTAAGAGTTTGAAAATGTGGAGCTAAAAGAACTAAGGATTTCAAGATAGGTATTTGGTAACTGATTACAAAAATTAAAACATTTAATCTCTAATATGAGAAAGAAGAACTAATTATCCTACATTCTACATTTTTGCTACATCATGAGAAGGGGTGTCGACGTCTTGGAGCAGGGGTAAGGGTACCACGCTTGGTCCCTATCTAGTTACGCCAATGCACGCATCGTTCGTTACATAGCCAAAGACTGGGGTTCGGGCGATTGATCGTGGTGCCGTAAGTAACGCGATATCCCGCAAGGAATGCTCGACGATACCTTTAAACGCGAAGCATTGCCGACAGTGTACGTAGAACTTGACCCCGCTGCGTCAATCCATCGCCGTTCGGTGTCAGTGACCTGCCTCAAAAAAAGAAACTAATTCCACCGGCCAGTGGCCCGTTACACACTCGTCGCACACACGACGGCGACGAGACGGATTCTGCGATTTTCTCGAGTCGAATTCAGAGCCCTCCGCCAAAAACTCATCAGACTTCTGCTAAAATTTCGAACCTACAAGATTCGAATAGTCGGTAGATCGATGCTTGACATTAATAGCAGCACGACTCCAAACATTTCAAATTTAGTGACTCGGAGTTGCATCATGTTTCTATTTTTATCTGGTCAAATGACATATTTATGATAATGTGATATAGTTAATGAGAACCATATTTAGTATCACTAAAGAATCATTACTCAAACAGTTCATAAGTTGTATTTATATTCATATTAATTATTAATAAGGTGTAACATCGTTAAGAAGTTATTTATTCATAGAGTTTGTTATAAATGGTATTATAATATAGTAATAATTTATTATCCAATGATAATTATCTCGTCTATAAATCGCAAGTTTCTCGTCCTTGGTTTCCCCAAGTGGATCAAGTACTTGTAGCCCTTCAACCGTGAAAGCCGTTAATTGTTACAAATCCGATGAAACGAAACGTTGCGATATGGAACGATTGCATGGAACATTATAAACGTTCGTAGGTGGGTAGTGCGTCATCGTTCCATATCGTTGCATTCGATGACAATATTTATCTAAAAAAAATTACGTAACGTTTGCAATGTGCCATGTGTTTGATAGGATTTTATTAATAAGTTGATAATTTTGTTTAACAAGATCATTAGTGTTGATTACGGTCTTACAGATAAGAAGTTAGATATAATCTACTATCTCTTTTTATTTTTAGTTTATCAATTTCCTTATGATACAAGTAGCAAAATATTAATGCTTAATTATAACTAAGTGTATTTATCTTGATGACAATACAATATTTCAATGATATCGTGATAAATTGTCTGAGTATTATAAAATAATATAAAACTATAATTTTTTACTTTTGAAACTATCACGTATCAATTTTATTACAATTTTAAATTTTCTAATTTTTTGTTTTACATTTACCAATTTCTCAAATTTAAAAATTGTTGAGGTTTTAGATTTATGCAATGCGTGGCGATATAACGAGAGAGTAATGATTTTTGCTTCAGGCCCCACAACACCAGTGCCATTCCTGCTGTTATACTATTGAAATAAGTGCAAAATTTGTGGTAACGGGTGTGCGTCTTTCATTTGATTGTATTCCCAGTACAGATCATCAGACGTATCAATTAAGTCAATATTGTAGGTCGTGTATAAGACAGCGTTCGTAGTTATCTTCCAATTGCTCACAGGTCCATTGAGTCGTGTATGCAAACCTATGTCAACAAAATAACTGTAGTATGCGTTGCAATGTATGTACAAGCGCAAAAGACTACAAAAGCGCACTCGGCGATAACAACGAGGCGTTCTAACAAATAAGCGGTATACTTCAAAGACATTGAGAAACGCTAACGGAAATGTAGTTTTTGCGCGTCTCTTTGGTTGTCAATTTCAGATAAATCCAATGGAGATGTCTAATCATGAAGAGTTTTATAAGTATCTTTACTTCCTTGTTGTCATTGATGAAATATTGTGTACATGTTTATTATTAGTGGCAACTACAACTGTCTAGCTTGGTAATAAAGTTGACACAATAACACAATTCAATTTATTGTTTATAACAATGTATTATTTGTCCATTCAATAATCGATAAATATGTATTGAGAAACCTGAAACAGTGAAAGTATAGGTATTTTGGTCCTCTGTGGCACAAAAATTATTAGAGAGTATTAATGTTTACAATAACCATTTCGAGCGACTATCAATGATAACAACTTAACCTCTGTACATGTTATTTATTACGTTATATGATAATAAACTGTGTATAGGTATATTGCATCATAACAGAAATATAAAAAGATGCAACATGTATACAATTTTGTCGATCTTTATTTTTCGTTCTGCTGAATTAATCACTCTACTAAATAAGCGATTTGTAGGATCACGTAGAAGTGTTTTTCGAGAAAGGAGTCAATAGCGAAAGAGTTAAGTTATCCTCGAGGCTGCAGGCGAAATCGGTGCGTTTGTTCGTCGCGAAGATATTTTAGTTGATCGCTCGATTTAATCTTGTTGCGATCTCTTGTTCCGACTCATACGTACCGATTTCCTTGGTGACGCAGCATCGAGCCGGTCGGTCCCGCGACAGAAAGAAACGAAAGTAATTCAAGTAGAATATCGATAAAAAGGAAAGAGCCTTTCGTGTTTGTTTGCAACGTCGAAACGTTAAATCGGTACAGGAGAAGAAGAGAAGAAACTGATCGGTAGCACAAGCCGGCTTTACGAACACGTCCGGGGGAGGCCGCGTAACCAGGCTGTGATTGGTCGAGCTGTGTACCACGTGTCGCGGTAGCTCGGGTGGGGATTGGCCAGTACGTCTGCGCACCGCGGGCGAAAGCGGCGAGTTTTGTTCTAGTATTTACCCCGCGGTGTAAAGTTGGCTCTCGCGCTCTCCGTTGTCCTTAAGTCACGTTCCATTGTCCGCGTCGTTTGTCCAAGTTCGTTTCGTATCGTACACCCTTCACGTTTCGTTCCCGGTATGTGGGTTTCAGTGGTGAACGTGCCGTACGAAATAGTGCGCCATGTTCGCGCCGCGAGTAACACGCGATGCACCGGCTAGCGTGGCAAGTGATGCGTTTTTCTCGTGACGTAGTTAGTGTGTGCATTTAAATACCATCCTGGAGTTTGTTGGCCGTGTGTGAGTGTGTGCGTGAATTAACGCGTCCCTGCCCGTTAGGAACGGCAAAAGTCGAGTGGCCGGGAAACAACGAGGCGAAAGCACGCTGTGGGACTGTGGAATGCACGCTGACAGGTATGTACCGCCACGCCGTCACACTCGGAATTCACTGAGCGGTTCTAACCTTCTTTCTTTATCCTTAATATGTTACTTCCTTTCTCGCTCGTAATAACGCAACGCTTGCGTGTGTATTTACGCGATCGTCCACCTCTCTCTCTCGACTCTTCCCTTTCTATCCTCCTTTCCCTTCGTTTTCTCTGTCTCGCTTCTTTCAATGACCTTCCTCGCGCCTGCGCATGCGCCCTAGACGCTGCGCCACTTTTGACAGCTGTCATGGTCGAAATGCGTATGGTGTACAGATGTGATTATTGATTATATTATTGATATCTTATCGATAACTTATTGATACATAACGATATATCGGTAACATTGTTGCAGCGAATAGAGAGCAATGTCAGTGAACTTGACCTAAGTAGAATGAACGAGTAAATTTCCCATTACCTTATATTATAAATATATCGATGCTATATGAATATGTATGTGTTATACTTCTGAACACAATTTCTACTTCACCAAGGTAGTTTTTTAGTTAGTATTACATTCCACATTTTGTATCTTCTTATCAAACTTTACCCATATGCTGTCACTTACATATGTCTTCATCTGTATCGTTAATGATCTATCATTATTTATTTCATGTAGAATGTTTTTAAAATTGGGAACTTTAGAAATTGCGGTATTGAGAAATTTCAGAATTGGAAAGTTAAATTTTAGAAATTGTGAATTGGAAAATCGGAAAAGGCGAAAATTAAGAGAGTCGAGGAACCTTGAAAATTGTTAAGTGAAAGACCGTAATTACTTCGGGCAAAACTTAAGATATGCGTGAACGATATTATCGATACATCGAGTAGTCAATAGCAGTCCGATATTATCGATATTTATCGCTAATGGTATCAATAGTCTCACCTCCAATACAGAAAGGCGGCCCGTTTCATTTCATCGTATATGATCGAAGGGGGAAAAGCAGCATATTGTCGTTCATTGCACTTCTTTCTCCCCTTTCGCGCATATCGGTATATTTCTATTTACGAGTCTGTTCGATAGATCGTTCGTTGAGAACCGTCAGATATCGGCATTTATAGGCATTACTTTATCGTTGTAATTTGAAATAATCACGAATACTTTGTACATCGTATTGCCAAGGAATGAAAGGTTATACTAGAGCAATAGGTTTTAATCTATTTGTGACGTAAATCAGATATCTCTATTACTTCAATGAATTGAACGATTAATCTTTTTTAATAAACGTTAACCATGCGAACGTTACCGAACACATCTGCAGCGTAGTACACGTTATGTAAAGTGAAAGTAGCTGCAGAAACGTGTTAAAGGTTGAGATACGTAATGTAAAATCGTATATAGTTGTAAATTCAGGTTATTGAACGCTTGATTTGTCGTGCGTTGTTCTGTCAGAAAAATCGCGAACTCTTATCATAAGCTGTTAATCAGATGCTTCACGAATCGAATCACTGTAGAATCAGAGAAGAACATAAACAAAAGATGATCTTGATGATGATGATTTTTCTTCGTTAACTCTTTAGCTTCTTTGTATCTCATACCTATTGATGTTGTTCTACGTTGTGTTAGATTAAGTGGTAAAGTGTCAGCTGTTCAGAATTGTTAAATAGATCTGCGTGACGTTATAAGCATGGAATAGTTCGTATCCTTTTCTTTGAAGTTGCCCGCCAAGGACATCTGACAAATGTCATGAGAATGCTGCTTAACCAGAAACGATTGAAATTAAAACACTGCTCGAGATACTATTGCAGATTATATTTAACAGTTAAGGAACATTGAGAAGAGAAAATTTTTGGGGTTAGATCCATGATACTAATTATAGAATACTCATTGTTGCAAAGTGTAATGCAATTTTACTCTGTCGAATATGTTATATATCCGTAGTAATAATTAAAGAAGACTGGTGTTGCACGGTCACGCGTTGTATGGTCATACGTATAGTCATGTGATATATTGTCATATGTTATATGGTCACGCGTTATATAGTTGTGATATACCATGCATAATCACGCAATATATGGTCACGTGCTGGGTAGGCATATGATTTGTTGTCACGCGTTGTATGCTTATGTGTAGTATAGTCATATGATACGTTGTCACGCGTTGCATCGCCACGCGTTGTATTGTCACGCGTTATATGGCAATGCGCTGAATCCCCACGCGTTATATGACCATGCGTTGAATCGCCATGCGATATATGGCCATGCGTTGAATTTACCACGTGTTGAATCGCCACGCGTTATATGGCCATGCGTTGAATTTGCCACACGTTATATGACCATGCGTTGAATCCCCACGCGTTATATGACCATGCGTTGAATCGCCACGCGTTATATGGCCATGCGTTAAATCGCCACGCGTTATATAGCCACGCGTTGAATCCCCACGCGTTATATGGCCATGCGTTGAATCGCCACGCGTTGTATGGCCACGCATTGAATCGCCACGCGTTATATGGCCATGCGTTGAATCGCCACACTTTATATGGCCACGCCTTGAATCGCCACGCGTTATATAGCCATGCGTTGTTTACCATTATTAAATATTGAATAATGTAATACATAAAATTTTGTATTAAACATTTGAAACTTTAAATTATCAAATTTCTAAATTTTCAGATACTTAAATTTGTCAAATACTAAATTTGAAATCCAATGATTAGAGAACAGGAAAATTTCCATACACAAAAATTTGTTAATCAGATAGAGATTATTAATTTTCTCCTATGCTCTGGTGTTCGAACTCGGACAAACTATCTGTGCACCCCGTTCGAAGCACGTGCATTAACTCTCAACGGTTCACCGCGACACAAACGATTACAAAGTACGATTAATATATCTGTTTGCGTATATACAAGGATCCGTATATCGAATTAGAACATCCAATCACATGATGGAGAGCACGCGTTCATTACATAAGTTGTCTGACGCAGTAGCGAACATCAATTTAAGAAAACGTGTTCTTCCGCCGTGCTGTTTCCCATCAGTATTCTAGATTGAGTCCCATTTAACCACCGCGTGTGTGCTTTGGTATCCTTGATCGCAACGCGTGTCGATCGTTCGTCTTTTTATCCGCGAGAACACTTTTTCCGTTGAGTTATGGCTAATTAACACTAGATCGTTAAGTACGAAACTTGACTAATGTCGAAACGCAAACTTTCACGTTTGTTAGCTGGTGTCAAATTTCAGTAGTGGATTAGGTTAGTTCTGTTTGCAGGATGCAATTCTATGTTCTCTGTGTTTTCAAACTTCTACTCTTTGTATCTTCAAATATTTATATTTCGAAATTTCTATATTCACAAATATTTACATTCGATATTTCTGATATATACTACTTTCCTTCAAGAAGGTAAACAATTAATATTATAAGCTTTATAACAAAATTTGCATCGAGCCGTATTCTTAATTGTAGTTCCCAGTGTCAGTACCTCAAAGTACAATCGCGTATATTTCAAGTAATTACAGTAGTCCCGGTGCATTTATTCCGTGAGAGGAAAGAATTGCAGCCTATCCGCGAGCTCGATCATTCAGGCGATCCGGCTAATAAAACGCAGCGGTAAACCGTCGGATATTTCGATTTCGAGCGGTTTGCTGAAATTACGAGCACGCGTGTACCGTTTCGGCCGAGCTGGTCGCAAGAAATACGGCCACAATAAAGAAGTTGTTTCTTCTTTTTCGTTTGACTTTTTTCAACGGGACAAGGAGGTTTCAGGAAGAAGCGGGCCCAAGGATCGTGGCAGGCCGACAACCTCCACGATCCTTATCCAATTACGTATGCGTAACTTCTGGCAGCGTAAGAATGCCCGGCCAAGTCGTTTAAATTCGCGGCCCGAAGCAATATTTAACGTTACACGGGCCCAGGTAGATCTCCGTTCGTTTCACCGCGGAATATACCGACTCCTTCGTATCCTTTCTTGCGTCTTGTATATTTACCGGTACCTTCGGATACTCGAGGTCGATCGTTACACCCACGCGTTTTCCTTCCCAGGCGCGAGTAACGCAAGTTTTTTTTTTTTTTTTAATTAAACCACCGGGAACTGGAATCCAATGGGCGGTGAAAGCAAGTTGTTTCACGGTCGGATTATTGTTTGCTACACGCGCTGACGAATTCTTCTCTCGAGCCACATCATTAATTATTTACCTATTTATTACAATCGAGAATAAATTTGTCTTTTCTAGGGAAAATGTAATAGCCAAGGAAGGGTCTTTCACTCTAGGGATTCAGGATCCATGGACTTGAGATTCTAGGGATTTGGGAGCTAGAGATTTGGGATTTAGAGACTAGGAGATCTAGGGATTTAGAAATTTAGAGAATTGGCATCCAGGAAATTTGGGATCTAGGGATTTGAGATCTAGGGAATTGGAATCTAGGGAATTTAGAACTTAGGGAATTTGGATTCTAGAGGAGTTGAGATCTAGAGGATTGAGATATAGGGAATTTGGGATCTAGGGAAGTGAGAATCTAGGAATGTGGGGTCTAGGAAATTTTGAATCTAGGGAATTGGGAATCTAGGAATTTTGAGTCTAGGAAATTTTTAATCTAGGAAATTTGGGATTTAGGGAATTGGGAATCTAGGAATTTTGGGTCTAGGAAATTTGGGATCTAGGGAATTGGAAATATAGGAATTTGAGGTCTAGGGAATTTGGGATCTAGGGAATTGGAAATATAGGAATTTGAGGTCTAGGGAATTTGGGGCCCAGGGAATTTTAATTCTAGAGAATTGAGCATCTAGGGAATTGGTAATCTTGGAATTTGGGGTCTAGGGAATTTGGATTTTCGGGATCTGAGATATAGGAGATTTGGAATCTAGAGAATTGGGAATCTAAGGATTTGGGATCTGAGAAGTAGATCTGGGGATTTCGGATCTATCGATATTTCGCCTAGGAATTTTTATTTAGAAATCCATGGTCCTAGCTCTTGCACATTTAGGGACTTTTATATCTAGAGTCTTGCAGATCTACGCATTTACAGATCTAGTGACCTGCATCAGTTATTTGGGTCAAGACTCTTTGGAGTCTAGAGACTTTCATCTAGAGTTTCTCGGATATAGAGAAAGACCGTAGACTCGTAGATCTAAAGACTCAGAAATACAGGAATTTGCTATCTAGAGATATGGGAATGTAGGCCCAAAAATTTGACTTTCTATGAATATAGAGATTTGGAAATACGAAAGTTTGCGAATGTAAATGTTTAAAGTACGTATTTAAAGTAGATCTATGTTTAAGCCAAGTAAATTCGAAGTAATAATTCCAAAGATGATATTAATTTAAGTAACGGCAGTAGCAGTCAATAGTACCCGTGCAACAGTTGCCTCATTAAACGCGCTACCAACGTGAATAAACAACAGCACGATGCGCAACAGTTTCGTTCTTTTCTGCACAGCAGAAAATTGCATCACTGAAAATTACGGGTGAATTACACGCGGCGTGCTGCCACTTAGATTCGTCGTGGAACGGTTCCTTTAACAGGCATTAAATATCAGCCGTAAAACGCGGCAGTTCGTTTTCCATAATATTAGCGATCCTCGGTTGGAATCCGTCGAAAGTTCCTCGAAACGTCACAGTTCATAAATTTCTAACAAAGTCCCTCTCGCGATGCTTTCGATTCCGCGCACGCAAACCCAACCGATTCGGGGCTTTGCAAATCATGCGTCTCGTTTCTTATGTAATTCCACGTAACTTCCTTCCCTTTTTTTTTATTCGGTTGTTCGCCTTTGTTCTCGCGGCGAAAGGAAGGGTCGTTCACCGCCGGCTGATTCGCGGATTTGTGTACTAAAATAGTGCACCGTTTTCATGGCAAAATAAATAGAATAGAATTCAGGATGTACGCCGCATTATTCTAAGTAACAGAACGAATGTTTTGACCGAGGTTCGCTTAAACCTCGGACGTATAGTAGCTAATTTAACCCCTTAATATATGTGCATGCTAGATTACTATTTTAAACCTAGCTAAAATAGTAAGAAAAATAAGAATGCTGAACTTACAAAAAATACAGCTAAACATAACTATTAAAAAATTGAAACAGCTTAACTCCTTCCCGTGTCGTTTATCTATCAGACGTGTCGGTCAAGACTAACTATTCAGTACTACAACATTAAAACGAACAAAGAAAATTAAAATGTCCTAAGTATTTTATATTCAGGGATCCTTGATAACGCAACTTACAATTGGACCTAAAAGTTAAAGAACATTCAAAATTTGAGTAAGGTTTGTCACATTTGAGCTGTAAGTGCGTCACGAGCGAGACTCGTCAAAGTACGGGAAGAGGTTAACGAAGTTTCATTGAAGTTGCATGAAACACATTTTTGATTTGTTAGAAAAAAAGCGTGAGAAACCGAATAGAATTTGTAACAAGTGGTATCGTGTGCAAATGAGACACGTGTCGCGAGGAAAGGGTGAAACAATAAGTAGAGCAGAAATCGAAGTCGGTGTGTCGGCTGTTACAGAAAAAGGAGACTCGGCGGCCGGAAGGGTTCGAGGGTAGAGCATGAGGGCCAGCGTGGAAGCACGGAAAGACGGTTCACAGTTCGGTGAAACGGTTAATGAGTGGAAATCACCGAACACGGCTGGCTACGTCTCTGTCTCCCCTGGCTGGAGATGAGCACGAAGGAGCTGAACACGAGCACGATGACAACCACCATGACCACCGGCACGTTACGATCCTCGCCGAAGCTGGATGTCGCGGCCGAGGACGACGAAGAGCCACCGACCCCGTTCGAATCCCTGGACATGGACCTGGTGAACGGACCGAATCCCTGGCTTCCGGCCTACGGTTTCCAGCTACAACATCGTACACATTTCCAGTCCACGCACGAGGATCTACGGGCTAATGGTTCGTACTGTTACTCTTTCACTTTCTACGCGTTCACTGCCCATGGGGTTAGGCTGATCACCGATGTAAACAATACCGACAATGTTATGGAGTCGAATAAATCAACGAGGAACAATGCTACGAGATTCTTAATGGCCTACGTTATGTTCTACAGATATCTCTTTTATCTGCATTTTCATTGATGTGTTTCGGTATTTAAGGACACTTAGCAGAGCTTGCTAAATTGCTGTTTTCAAATTGATAAATTTCTACGCTGTCGCGCTTGAAAATTTGATAATTTCGATTACCTGGAATTTATACAATTGTCTTTTATAAAGATTTTTAAAAAGTCTGATTTCATTTTTGTCACTTCTCAATAAATAATTCATTGAATTCGTTATTAAATATCTTGCTTCAAGAATAAATTTGTATTTCATTAATTAATGTGATTTGACTCGACAAAGAGTGTTATACTTATCTGGAGTTGTACTCCAGTTAGAATTGTGCTTATCTAGAATTTTCTTCTGGCTGATCCACACGCACTTATCATGAATATTTATGCTTTTACCGTATTGGAAGTGAATATTTAAACAGTTAATATTACGCTTTCGTTATTTCCGATTTCTTCGAATGCCCAAGTACTGACAACACCCGAAGCAGTATCATAAGCGCTAATTTGCTCGAATGATCAATCGTGAGTAAGAGAACATTGATTTCCGATAATTTCATTCACGCGTGACAACAACGCAGCTTCGAATTTGTTTCTCGAATTGGTCGCAAAAACATTAGCGAGAAGATGCAATTTATATTCATGAATTTAAATCGTACATTACATCGACGCTTTCGTTACAGCGATTATCGATCGAGAACCGATTAAATATGTTTCCGGTCGTGTCATCTATTCGTTAAGCGTTCGATTAACATTTAAATGGCGCGCAATTAAATGTCCGTCCGATAGTACGGATTTATCCGTGCGATTTCGGCTCGATATCGGATCTCAAAGTTGTACGTAACATGCTAATTGACACTGATTAGCCGCGCGCTCGGTTATTGCGACAAACGGGAAACTTTATTCGCCTGCGACGAATTTCCTGCGTGTCCTGTTCTTCGTCTACGCTCTGAATATCCTCGGCAAGCTGCAACGTTACCGTACTTTTCATCTGATAGAAAATAGCGCGGGTTTGCATACAAATCGCACGTTAATGGCCAGACTTAACGCGAACTACTTTCTACAAACGTGGACGAGCGTGCGAGAGTTAATGAAAAATACAGATTGGATATCTGACTGCGCAATTTCCATTCATGAGAAGGACATCGTCGGATTGTTTACAAAAAATTCTTCGACATTTGCCGGCGAATATGTAGCAAAATTATTGAGTATAGATAGTGTTGATATATTGAGATTTATGAATTTAGGGATATTTTGGATCTAGAAATATATTGGATCTAGGAATATTTGAATCTAGCTATATTTTGGATCTAGGGATATTTGGAGCTATAGGTATTTTCCATCTAGAAATATTTTGGATCTAGGAATATTTGAATCTAGCTATATTTTGGATCTAGGGATATTTGGAACTATAGATATCTTCCATCTAGAAATATTTTGGATCTAGGAATATTTGAATCTAGCCATATTTTGGGTCTAGGGATATTTGGAACTATAGGTATTTTCCATCTAGAAATATATTGGATCTAGGAATATTTGAATCTAGCTATATTTTGGATCTGGGGATATTTGGAACTATAGGTATTTTCCATCTAGAAATATTTTGGATCTAAGAATATTTGAATCTAACCATATTTTGGATCTAGGAATATTTGGAGCTAGGGGTATTTTTGATGTAGAAATATTTTGGATCTAGGGATGTTTGGGTCTACTGATATTGGTATCTAGGAATATCAACACCTACGTATACGATCGTTTAGAAATATAGTGATGATTTACAGACATTGCAACATGAAAATATATATGATATAATACTGAAAATTCCAGGTTTGTTTCCCTAGGAAGAAGAATCTTAGGAATATTTGTTACTTTATTAGTAATTGCTATAAATTCTATGGTAATTGAAATACTTTTTATTAATAATTACGTCTGACTGTGAACTAGTACGCACTTAGCGGAGGATTAAATAATAGCGACTCGTGTAGGGTTTCGAAGAACGTTGAAATATTTGCTCGTCAGACCATCCGTTCGTTTCTTTCAATTGTGTAACCTTGTTGCAATTAGTCGGAGTGTAACGTAAGTACACGAAAGAAGGTAGATCATCGGGTATTTTTGTACGAAACGCTGGATTATTCACGTTGCTTGGTTAAAGGCAACAGGCGACTGCAACAGGTGGTTTCCTTCCATCATGATGTTGCATAGCACTGCGTGCCTCGCCGCTTGTGCAAGACAAATTGCATTCCCGGAAGACGATTTCTTCTTACACTGACCATTACTATACTATAACTATACCAATCCGCTTGTTTTTGCGTAAAATAGAACGGCAGGTCAACTTAGGTTAGGACGGGTCAGGAATTCGATCGGAGTTCAAAGTAACACGTGTAATATTTCACAGTATGCCGTAGCAATTAATGCGAATCGTCGATTGTAGAATTTTTGTGATTTGGAAAAATTCGGATGTTACAAATTCTTACAATGGATTTTTCTTGCTAATCACGGTTTTATTTTGAATTTCAGGCGCAGGTTCACGTTTATGAACTTTGGAGGAAATTTTTCCTTTCATCGATATTTTTTTAGAAGTATGATTGTCTATAAATAATTAACAAGTCCGATGGAGTATTAGTCGCCTGCTGTCCCAATGTTGCAAATTTTTAGACCAATTGGGTGCTGTACCAATATCTGATCCTTTCAAGGGACACCCATTAAAGTTAATTTCTTCAGCTCTTAGGTACTCCGAGAGTAGAGTGCAGACGTGCTGATTCGAATTCACAAACCTCGTTCTTCTTCAACGCTCTCTTATAAATATTTCACGGGATTTGCACTCTTTACGATCGTTTGTTTTTCTTCACGTAGGCCTCCTGGTAGAATTGATAGAACAGGTAGAAGTTGATCATTAAGTTCACTAGCATTATTCCAGGTAGGAATTTCAGGTCTGAGCATCCTGGGATGAACGCCTGCGCCACGTACAGCATCAGTACGATAAATTGAATCTGTTCGGGACAGAAAAGTAATATTAAACATTTTTATAGCACAAAAGTACGCAATATCCATTATTATTAATTTGGTCGAAATGACGCACTAGTGCGTCCTTAGAAATTATACGAAATTACTGTAAAATAATTGTGAATATAAAGACGATAATATCAAACGTTGCAATTAGCGTTGAAAATTTGCTACTTTTGGTGCGACATGAATTTCCCCCTAGATAGTTTCCTGAACGAGTGTAGTTGCTTACCATTTGCATGATGGTGATCAAAGGTTTGATTTTATTAAGGTATCGTTGCACAGTCGGTCCGAACGTTGCCGCCAGATAGTAAGAGTACATTATCACGTGTATCCCGCAATTGACTACCGGAATAGTCATCGTCATTCCATTGACGTTATACTTCACACAAAGCCATGCGATTATAACCGTCGAAACATGGTGATACAGATGTAGAAACGACACTTGTCGTTGTTTCTTTCTTAGGACGAAGATTCCAGTCTCCACGTAATCGATCAATTTTAAGATTAGCAGGTACCACATTATCCTGCAGATCTGTAACAAAAGTTGTTTTTCTCTATGGGAATAAAAAATAAACGGGGTGGGTATGATGCTTTTTGCAGTAGTCTTTTTTAAACCCTTGTCTGACATGTAGTAGCTCATATGTGATGAATCTTACTTTAGTTTTTAATACAAGTTTGAGTCCAAACATAGTTTACAAAATTAAGGATCGTCAGTACAAGCTTGATATAGCATTTCAACTACCTTTATTTATTTTAATATTGTAGTTATGGTCAGCTCTAGTTGACGCACCTGACATGTGACGCACTCATAGTTCATATGTGATGAATCCTACGTGAATTTTTAATACTACTCTATTTGGAGTTTGAGTCCAATAATTTGCAAAGTCAATACATAACACCCGAATATAAGATTGACATAATATTTCAACTGTCTCTATTTATTTTAATATTGCAGTTGTGATTAGCTCTAGCTGACACACCTGACATGTGACGCACTCATAGCTCAAATGTGATGAATCCTACGTGAATTTTTAGTATTACTCTATTTGGAGTTTGAGTCCCATAATTTGCAAAGTTAAAGATTCTCAACACAAGCTTGACATAACATTTCAACTGTCTTTATTTATTTTAATATTGTAGCTGTGATTAGCTCCAACTGACTGTAATAAATCTACATGAATCCACATGTGATTTATCTACATGTGATAAATCCTAAGTAGATTATTAATACTCCCCTATTTGGAGTTTGAATCCAATAATTCACAAAGTCAGAAATCCTTGAATACGAAACGAACAAAACATTCCAACTTCCTTTATTTGTTTTAATATTGTAAATATGAATAATTAATTCTGACATGCACTTGACATGTAAACTGTACAAGGGGTTAATAATCAGGTCGTTGTATATGAAATTATGAAATCGTTTCGAAGTGTCACGTAATTTGTTTTTGCACAAAATTAACATAAAATAGTACCATTGATATATCAGTTCGAAGTTAAAGGTTTAGCGAAAATGAATACTTAAACATTTCGTTGATATTCTCGCTAAATTATTCATATAACATATCTTATTATTTATGTTTTTATATTGATCTTGTTTAGTATTAAACGAGGAATGTTTTTTATCTCTCATTGTATATAAATATAACGAATCTTTTGCATGGTTTACATGCATATGTATATAAGTAAAAAATGAAAGTTAGCTGATTGAATAATGACCTCGATCAATTGATTAATAAAGATTAATTCAAATTGGCTTTGAAGGCAATTTATGTAAAATATTCGTCGCCTTGCAGTTGTGTTTTGAAGGTAAAATGCAGGTATAATTGGAAGATTTCAAATCTAGAAATGCTTAAATATCATAAACGCAGTATGTCTGAAAATTCCTGGGTCCCTTAGTCTGTAATTTTCTATATCTTCAAAATCGAATTCTCAATATCTTCAGAATATAGCAATTCTTTATATCTCTAAATTACTACATTCGAAATTTTTTGTATTCCAGATCACTCTTCACTCACGTATACCTCAATTCCCTAAATCCCCCACATCCTCGATTCCTCAAATTCCTGTACAACCACATCACAGTATCTCCACGTTTCTTCATAAAAATTTGCAAAATATGGAAGAGAAATTTACATTAATATTCTATTATATTGCGCAAAATATCAAAAATACTTTACACTGTAAAGTATGAATGTGTATTTGTTTTCCAGGGTTATTACGCCATTTGCATTGTAACACGTGTTACCGCGTCGAATGTCACGGGGGTCAGCAATGACTGGCACAAGAAATTTAACGTACACTCCGACTCAAACGTAATCGGACTTAGGGTTATATCATCTTGAAACCACGTAGAAAATTTCCTAACAAAGGTTTTGACAATGTTCGGTTGTGTATTCTCAGAATGCTACAAATTTACGATGTCCTTTCATTTTTCTTTTGAAATCATTAATATTTGAGTTATTAATTTTAGTTTTAGTAATATTTGATTCATTAGCTCGTAGCTGTTTTGTGAATCATTAGGATCGACAAGTGTTCTCTTTTAGAAAATAAAGAATTTTTTTCAGTAGAGATAAAAGGGTGAAACCCTGTTTCAAATAATTTACTGACCATCTTTTTGCATATCGATTCTTTGTACTCAAGGATTGATCGATAACTTAAAATGACTTCAAATTAACACTGTCATATAAAAATATTATATTTCAATATTTTGCGTATCTGCATCAAAAGGAAGAAACTTAAACATCAAGCTCTGTATTTTTTGTTTGTACGGTACCTTATAAAATAATCAAGATCGGCTTGTGGGGGCAAGTATTGTAATACGTTGCTCGGCGTCTTCCGCCGTGATTTTTTCGTTCGAAAATTTAACTTAACCTTCCAACTTTTTCTAACTTTAATTCAGAATAATACATAGCCTTCGATCGAATTTGATCTAAATAGAAGTCAAAGTAAAAAATTGAAGTCTAACAGAAATCTCTGAAGCGGTCAGCAAAAATTTTGACGTACACTTGAAACTTTTACAAAAACTTTGAAAGCAACAGTATTGGTACGATTGTTAAGTTCAGACTAAGCAAAGATGGAGTTCAATGACTCGAGATATGAAAATGGTCACTGAGTTGCCGTATTGGGCCGAGTGGCGAACGAGACTTCTCGAGTGCAAAGGTTTAAACGTTAAACTACAAAAATAATAAATACTATGCGTTGCTTAATGATTCAAACACAAAGTTGCAAACTTCACTTTGCGAAGGAAGAAGTCAGTCGTCTGCTGTAACCTCTTTCTCGGACTTACACTACTTGTGAATCACCCTGTATAAAACCCCATCTCTACTCGCGTATACAAAATAAAGACCCAACTCAAAAAAATTGTGGAAAGTGCTAAAAGGCGGCTAATCGTGTGGAAACCTTCATACCTTCATCGACGTAGGATTCATAGTTAAATCGATCGGCGCACAATAGAAGAAGTAATCCTCGTACCATCCAGCGTCAAATATCTCTTTAATGATCAGCGCGTTCGCCACGATTTGAAACACATTGTATATCTTGATGACGGTCTTCAAGGAGTACGCTTTCTTCTTCTCCATATATCTCGGGCCACATTGTAGCACAAAGTACAGGTACGAGAATGTCAACACAAACAGAATCGAAGGCGAGTTTACCAGAATCCAGTCTTTGGTCCTCGGGTCTGTATAATGTTAGAGCCGTTAAAAGATATTTTTTTTGACAATGTACACGCATCTTCGATCACTCACCGGCCAAATCCTCATTCAAGTAGTGATACCATGATAATATACTCATGTTTGACACCTATTCACCGTGACTACTCGCTGCTAAGTCGTCGAGTGCAACTATCACCGTACCGTCCGACTTGTTTTTCGGACAGCGCTGAAAACAATAGAAATAATACGTAAATCAATTATTCTTTATATACGGACCCGTAATCGTGATCCTCAATGAATTTTAAACACGGATAATACGTACGTAGGTCGTGGGAATTGTAAAGCCGAATCGTTTTGTATCTTCGACATTACTTTTTCATTTCCTATAAGGAATTTGATATTAGAATATCTGGTATCGTACATGTTTTTAAGTAGAAATTATTGGGTGTGTGGTTTGATTTTTATTGATAAGTAAAGGTTGTGTTGGAAGGTGTTATGGATATTTTTTGTAGTGACGTAAAAGGTAATCAACGCGTGTTTCGAATAATGTTATTTATTGACGTAGGTGAATGGGAACCGAGGTGAACCTACTGACCCAGTAGCAAATGTGGACTATATTTTAAATTTATGAACTTTATATAAAGTTTTTGAGAAGCAGAATTTCTTAGTGCGTTAAGTAACAAATTTTTTAGGTTGCATGTTACTGTCATATCCCTAAAGTCTCATATTTCTGAAATGTCAGATATCAACCTTTATTGTTCAAATTATTAAATCTTTCAATTCCTATGTTCATGAACTTTTATATCTTTAAAATCTCAAGTCTGAACATTTTCAAGTTTCTAAAGTCTTAAATCTTTAAAATTGCTGAAGTTCCAAATCTTTGAAGTCTCAACTGCTTAAATTCTCAAATCCTTAAAATTAAGTATCTCAAAATTCCTCAGTCTAAAAATTCCTGAATGCCAAAATTCCCAAACCTTAAAATTCCCAAACCTCAAAATTCTCAAATTCTTAAAATTCGCAAATCTAAAAATTCCCAAATCTCAAAAATCCTAAAATTCACAAATATCAAATTTCCCAAGTCTCAAAATTCCTGAATGTCAAAATTCCCAAACCTTAAAATTCCCAAACCTCAAAATTCTCAAATCCCTAAAATTCCCAAATCTCAAAAATCCTAAAATTCACAAATATCAAATTTCCCAAGTCTCAAAATTCCTGAATGTCAAAATTCCCAAACCTTAAAATTCCCAAATCTCAAAATTCTCAAATTCCTAAAATTCCCAAATATCCCAAACTTCCCAAAATTCCAAAACTTAAAAATTCCCAAACCTCGAAAATCCCAAATCCCTAAAATCACAAGTCTCTAAAATCACAAATCCCTGAACTCCCAAACCTCAAAAATCCCTAAACTTTCAAATCTCAAAATTTTCCTATTTCACGTAGAATGACGTTTCATTAAAAAAGTTTTACCAATAGTTATTTTTCAGTTGTACCGTTGAAATGACGTCAATTCAAAGCTCGATAATGTAGTACCGTCACATCATACTGTCTAATGCGGTTCAATTAGGCCACCTTTTTTTTGTACGTTTCCGCTATCGTATCGATGGAATTAAAATACTTCCTATTCTCGTGCACAGCATTTGTTTGCAACTTATATAGAACACATTCTATGGTTTTTGAAAATTTTTTTTTGAGCAATCATAAACTTATCGAATTAAGAAATCTCTAATTTATTTGCGATTTAGACATTTTCCCAGCAAAAGTAATTTAGAAGTTCCGAAATTTAGAAATTTTATATGCAAGGCTTTTTCAGCTACAAAGCTTTAAATATTCTAATTAATGATCATTAAAATTTATTAATTTATCCACTTAAAAATTTGTGAATTTCAAATATGAATATAATTTTATCGTAACAGATACCAATCGAATAATAAAAAATTTAAGTTAATGCTAATAACAACAAATTAGAGTAAAATATTATGCAAGAAAATATAGTGACGTGTCGAAACGATATTATTGTTGCTTATCAATGAACTAAATAGTGTAGTAATATATGCGTATTACGTGATTCATAGTTTATTAATAATCTATCTATGCCATCACCAGAATATATTTACTATTTATCTGATGTTTTTGTTTTCAAATTACGTCTGTTCTCGTATTTCTCTGTCTAACATATATTTCAGCCGAATATTATATTTACGATTTCGGAGTACGTAGTATATTCTCTTGTATATAAACAGTTCCGAAGCGTTCCATGAATTAGTCGAACGAGTTTCGCTGAGATATTAGAAAATACCTTAATATAAGTCACTGTCAGTGCGATAATAAGAGAAACATTATGTACAACAGGAATCGATATCCCAAAACTGTATTGTGTAAGGAAATTTGTAGACACGTGCTTCTAAGGCAAAATTTTTGCATGAAGTTGTGATTAAAATTTTTAATCATACTGCAACTGAAATTGAAATTGTGACCGGAATTGAAATTAAAATTGATGTTAAAATTCATGTAAAAATTTAAATAGAATTAACATTACAGTTGACGTTAACATTGAAACTACAGTTGAAGTTAAAATTAATATTTAAGTTAAAAATGAAAATGAAATTAAAATTCATATAAAAATTTACATAAAATTAATATTAAAGTTGACATTAAAATTGCAATTGAAGTTAAAATTAAAACTGAAACTGAAATTAAATTAAAATTAAAACCAAAATTAAAAATAAAATATAAAATTACCCCCTTTCATCAAATATCTGTCCTAATTCAAAATTGAGATCTTAAAAAGTAAATTTGCTCCCGCACATCAATAAATTCCCAAAAGTGCAATATTTTTTGAAGTTATAATCTGATTTCTCACAAAGTTATCGAGATAAAAAATGATCTGTAGCAAAAATGGAGGTCAAAGACGATCAAACTGCCTAATTAATTATATAATTAAATTTGCTCCATATCAACCGCGAACATCTATTTTAATCGACAAATTAAATTTGTTCACAGACACAGTATTGGTGCAGCAGGTGGATTTTTTAGAAACCATTCTAGAAGAAACATCCGACGATTTGCAAAGCGATTCCGACCGTAGCGGGACCACGTATTGGGTCGGTTCTGATTCAGAAACCGAAAGTGTGATACACATACGAGCGAAGCAGAAATTAGCAGGTAAGAAAAGATTCGTCTGGTATTAGATCTAATTTGGCCCCATGTGATTGTTGCGTACCCCCGAATCGTCTAAGAATAGGTTTAAAAATACCGGGGCTCTTGGACCAGACTGTCTAATGTCAATTTGGCAAGTCCCAACATGGGCTGAATGCCCATGTGTCAAGTTACGTTATAAACAGCGCGAGTTTGTACTTGTAGGGAAGTTTTGACCTGCATAGTGTTGTGTTGGGAAAGACTTGAAAGTTGGGCTGTCGAGTTTCTATATTTTCAAAGATCCAAAACACATTTTCACATTTCTAGTCTCAAATTTTTCATATTCCCAAATTGCCTATATTTTTTAAATTTCGAAAGTACTCTTAGTTCCAGAGCATCAAATTATTAAGTGCCAATAAATATCACCTGATATTCGCATCATTTTATAGAACAAAAAATACCACTTTTATGTTTGATTTTAATTTTTCATATTTAGTAACATATCCCTTGAACTTATATTTGTAACAAATACCAAGGAGATTGTATAAATCAATTTAAAATAATTTATCCGAGACATAATTGATGTTACTCAATTCCCTGTGAGATTCCTTGTAGCATACCAACGGTGCAACGTTCAAGTGTGCACGGTTGCAGTTCTTCAGGTGCCTCTGTCTCTTCCTCGCTTCCTGTATTTGCAAACCTTCGTTTCATTTATTCTTTCGCTTATGCAAACGAATAGACTTGAACAAAATATTGCATTAAATGGTACAATATCTTTTACAATATAAAATTTTTCCAACAGGACTAAAAGTATATACACAATCCAAGAATTGTTTCATGAAAGGATGAATAATACACACTTACATATAGTATAAGGAAATTTTGCTAAACATCTTGTTAAGTAATTTTTCAAAACACCAGCTATTTTTTTAAATAATTTCCTTTAGAGCTTACTCGCATACTATTGAAGTCACATATATAACATGTTATGCTTGAAGCTAATAGAGAATATGTTATTTTGAAGTCACATAGATAACATATTATGTTTGAAGCTACATAGAGAATATGTATTATGTCTGAAGTCTCATAGATAACATGTTACGCCTAAAGTTACATAGTGAACATATATTATGTCTGAAGTCACACAGGTAAAATATTATGCTCGAAGTTACATCAATAACAATACGATCGTGGTTGTCGACTTTTTCGCGAACGGATCGAATGAAAGAGAAACCTAAAAAGCCGCACGCCTTCGGACGTATACTTTTACTTGGAAGTATGTAGATTTAAGCCACTTGCCACGGTAATTAGACGGTAACCGTATCCTAGACAATTAATCTTATATGCTTGTGCTCGCCAGTTATCTTCTCACGAGTATCACTAGCAGTTTCAATAAAACAAACTTACGAAGCTGTTCATTATATTTCTCGATCACGTGTTTTGTAGCAGAGTTTTAAATGGCCGCTATGAAATATCTTGGAACAAGTTCTCAAAGGGTCAGTTAAGGGCCAATTACATTTAATGAAGCGTATCAAACTCTTATCTGTGTGTGTGCGCGATAAACTGTGTATGTTCTGATTTTTGTAGTTACTTAATAGTAAACAATTGGTATTTATATTATATTTGTATGTATTATTATGTGAAGTTTGTTTAGAAAATGGAAGAATTCAATTTCCTAAAAACTTCAGGATAACAAAATACCATTTACTGAACAAACCCAAAAAATATTATTTACCCAAAGAACCCAAAAACTCCAAAACCAAAAATCCGAAACTCAAAACCCACGAAACCCAAAAACCTCAAAACACGAAACTCAGAACCCAAACACAAAAACCCGAAACTCGAAACTCAAACCCAAAAACCCGAAACTCGAAACCCAAACCCAAAAATCCAAAACCCAAACACTCAAAAACCCGAAACCCAAACACTCAAAAACCCGAAACCCAAAAACCCGAAACCCAAAAACCCAGAAACCCAGAAACCCGAAACCCGAAACCCAAAAATCCGAAACCCAAAAACCCAAAACTCGAAACCCAAAACTCAAAACCCAAAATCTCAAGAATCCAAGAACCCAAAACCTGAAAGCAAAAACCCGAAACCCACAAACCCGAAACCCGAAACCCAAAAACCCAAAACTCAAAACCCAAAATCTCAAGAATCCAAGAACCCAAGAACCTAAAACCTGAAAGCCAAAACCCGAAACCCACTAACCCGAAATCCGAAACCCAAAATCTCAAGAATCCAAGAACCCAAAACCCAAAACCTGAAAGCCAAAACCCGAAATCCCAAATTCACGAAACTCAAAAACCAAAAACCCCAAATTCCGAAAACCCGAAATCCCAAATTCACAAAATTCCAAATTCCCAATTTCCCAAAACCCCAAGTTCCAAAAATCCCAATTCCCCAAAATCCCGATATCGAAACTTGCAGACGTGTTTCGATCAAGAAGCAGTTGTTATAAGAACCGAAGCAATTTCTCTGAAATTACAATTGTTTTTTTCATTCCACGTAAAGATATGCGATTGTGTCTACTCCATGTACGATTCTCTTCCGTTGCATCTAATATTAGATCACCTTCAAACGTGATTCATATAGGATTACCATGGACTAGCCGTTGGATTCCACGTGCATGTGATCATGCGAAAATAAACCGACAAGACAACGGGTCGTGTGGAGTAAATTCAATTGCTTCTGTTCGATCGCGTCGGGAATTTTAGCTTTGATACAACTCGATCGGTTACTTGCTTCGCGAAATTAAGATAACTCAATCGTGACCTCGTTACTGTGTCGTCTTATCGTTTGCCAAAATTTCACCCTTTCGACCCGACCAACATATATAGTTTATGTAACTTGTTATGACAACATTTGCTTGACTTACTTTGGGGATCACGTGTTTCGTTAACACTTACGCACATAAATGGTGCTTGAAATTATTTTCATGAAAGATTAGTAGGACAAAATGCAAAAATATGCAAATGAAATGTATGCAAAAATAAATATAAAATACTTAAATATTAAATATAATTTTGATGAAGATTTCATCTATTCATAGAATGCGTTTCACATTGGCACGTGTTAATGAAGATTAATGAATCGCGATAATCTCGCAATGAACGCAACGTGAATGTGATTATTTTCATTCTAGACTTCTGCTTTCCGTCTTCCTTTTCTTTCTAATCTTCTTCCATGACTTACATCATATAGTTTATTGAAAGAGTGTGACATTAAAAGTGTGAAATAAATTACATACAAAATCCAGAAGAGAACGTATTAAGAAAAGTTCGATTATTTATATTGAATACACGAGGAAGGAATTCATTCACCGGAAAGTTTAGTAACATAAAGAAAACCTTGAAAATTAATGGACAACTCGCAACAAGTACAAGTTACCGGTTCATGTTATGTACTTTCGCATGACCTTTTAAACAATAATGGATTACATATCCTCAGTATTCCCGTTTAATTAATGCTTGCATAAATCTATTACGCAACACATTTACTTTTAACGATCATGAAAATCATCGTGAAACAATGTTCCCGATATTTCAGAGACATCGAACGATTAAATTTCGAATATTTGAATTACACGTGTTTACACCGATGTTCTTATCAAATATTCTAGTAAATTGAATTGTTAATTTTTAATCAAAGTTTCGACTATCTTAATTCTTCATCAACGTTCTCTGTAGATACATATGTTACATGGTCTAAATAATATATTCCATCTTCTCATATTTGCAATTTGCTCGTTACGAGTTCTACTAGGCTACACAATGATCTAATGAGGATAATTAATTTTTTTTAATCACACAATTAGAATACATTTGCTTATAAATTGAATTTATGTTTCTACCTTTTATCGCAACGGATGAAAGGTGGTAGCCAATCGATATCTTATCGAAGTTTATATTTGCTCGACATCTTATTTGCTTGCGAAAAACAAAACAAATATTTCAACGTCGAGGAAAGAATTCTCGCGGGCTTTTTAATAGCGTTTTGATGTGCCAATGAATTGTTGATGTTGCCATTGGAATTCCATTTTGAACGCGTTTCCATAAACACGCCGACATCGATTTTCGAAATCAGCGTCCGACGTCGAATTTGTTTTTCTAGCGGCTCTTGGTGGTTAGAAGCTATTACCTTGAAGATGATCTCAATTTTAAACGAATTCTGCGCAAAACAAGCTTCGTACATTTTCTTCCTATATCGCCCCATTATCTCGATTCAACTCGGCTAAATCAACTTGACTTCTATTATTAGCTCTTCAAGGCGAATCGTAGATGATATAAAAATAAAAACGAAAACGGTCGAAACTTCGACGGAAGACTTCTCGACTGTTTTGGACCGCTGAAGGTCTTCGATTTGGAAACGCAGTATTGTTATTTTGTTATTTTATATTTTGGGATTTTTAGGTTTTTTAAATTGTGGAGTTTCAAACAGAGAAGTGGTCACATTTCACCTCTTTATAATTTACCTCTGAAATTTTATTTCCAAATTTTTATACTTTCTAATTCTTCAAAAATCAGAAATTATCAGATACAGAAATTTAGAAGTGATCACATTTTCCAGTGTGCGGCCTTTGAAATTTTCGCGTTTCCAGATTTTTAGATTTTCAAGATTTGGTAATTTGGCAAGTTTGGAATGTTACATATTTATAAAATTTTCAAGTTGAGAAATTTAGAAGTATATAAATGCAATTATACAGCCCTCGATATCAACCTGTTATGTTTTGATCCACATCGCAAGTTAATAGAATTCCCCATCGACGGCCCAGTTTACAAAGTCTAGTCACGGAAGTGGGTCTTGCACGGAGGGGTCGAGCAATCTTGGATTTTACGCGTCCCTCCAGTTCTCTCCGCCAGGAAGCCATGGTTCATTCAACCGGAAGCGACGCTTACGGAGTTACGCGGTCACCGGTTGTCGACTTCGTGACCGTCGTTCGACACGTGATTGACCACACGAGCCGTAACTGATAACCGCTGCTAATGGTAGCGACGTTCTTTTTTCTCGTTTCTTTAACTCGCTCCACCTGATACACCTGTCGCGGTTAACCACTGCGATGCTCAACTTTTTCCAACATTTTCTACCAAAAGTTCTATTAGGAGAAGGTGAAGAATTTGCATTCAAAATATTTTCGTACAAAGTTATCTCATACAAATTGAATTTTTGAAGGTGCTTATCTGGAATCTGTGGAGAAATTCAAAATGGAGGTTCAATATGGTCGATGAATGGTTTGTAATATTTTGGGAAGATTTGTCAGATAATAAGGTTTTGAGATATTAAGGTCATCAAGTGATTTATAAGATATATGATTTTCAAGATTTATAAGATGTGATATATATGATTGATAAGGTTTATAACATGTATGATATACATGATTGATAAGATTTATAACATGTATGATGTACATGATTGATAAGGTTTATAAGATATATGGTTACAAGATTGATATACAAGATTGATAAGGTTTATAAGATATATGATTACAAGATTGATATACAAGATTGATAATGTTTATAAGATATATATTATATATGATTGATAAGGTTTATAACATGTGTGATATACATAATTGATAAAGTTTATAACATGTATGATATATGTGATTTATAAGATTTATGACATGTGATGTACATAATTTATAACGTTTACAAGATACACAATATACATGATTCTCAATTATTACATTAGCAAAAAAATTGTTAATGGAAACATTGCCACAGAACGTATTGCAGTTATGGTTTAACGGAAGGTACAGTATGGCTCGTTAGACGTAGTACTTGAATGTTCTACCAGATAGTAGCACCCATAAAAAAGTGACTTTCCTTGTCCTCCTGGGTGCAAGGAGCAGAAAATTGTAGAGTGTACGTGCGTCCATGATTACAGAAAGGGTTAATGCATCTAGAAGTAGCTAATTAGAGATTTGTATCCACTTCGTGTAGATATTTAAATAGAAATATTGTCAAGTTTGAAACCCGAACTTTCATCTAAAAATCGATTATCTTTACTTTTTGTTACGCCTACTTTGTAATATCAGCAGTGAAAATTTGGTAAGTATGGACTCTTCTTTTTAGAAATTTCTAAATGTAGTTAGACAGGTTACTTCTTGGGGTGACTTTATTTAAGTATCGTAGTGGGATATCGGAATGTGGAAGTTTAGGGATATAAGAATGAGGGATCTCTCCAAAGTTCTACAATACGATTTAGTACTTTACAATCCAATTACCACTAAATCCACGTAGCAATTAAAAATATTGTCTTCGAACTTCCTTTCGCCATAACCGAATACGGTTTCACTAAATAGCATTACGTTGCATATATAATTGAAAGCGTTTAGCGATTTCTTGTAACGTCGCCATACACGGTCCGCCATTGCTCGAAACTGTTCTACGAGCAAAACAGTCTCCCGGAAAGTAGGTTTAGGCCAGTTGATCGCTATCGCGGGCGATCGTCTCGCTTTTACTCTCCCGATAGCCGAGCGAATCAAACACACGCGTCCCGATGGATCCTTTCTGGTTAGAAGCTGATCTTTTCTGATTTCTCGGAAGACGAGCGTCTGGATGGCAGCGGAAGCGACTGCAACTCCGTGGTGCCGAAGAAGAGGCGCCGGAAGTACGACGGCAGCAGCGATCGAGATCACCAGGTGACCTTCGACGACGAGTACCCAGCGTCTCCCAGGTCGTCGAGATCGTCGGCGTCGTCGAGATCGAGCTCTCTGCTGCAGTTCGAGTCGCTGGAAAGAACCTGTGCCACACTGTCGCCTTCCAGCTACAGCTTCGACTCGCTGGAGTACCCTAATCGTTCTAACGCCTCTCATCCCGAGAACACGTCGCCGGACAGCCTCGAACAGGACTACGACAAAGTCCTGCCGAACGGGTTCGGCAATTCTCTTGATCACTTCGCGAGGATCAGGCCTTATCGCAGCTTTGAGAGCCTGGACACGTGCCAGAAAGAAGAGGGCTTCGGCCAAGGGGCTCTGACGAACGGATTCGCACCATTGTACCTGAAACGAAACGTGGATCTGTCGAGAACCAGGAGCAACAAGCACTGTCCGAGGTATGGCAATTTTCAGTTCATGCGATTTAGGTTAAGTTTGGTGCTAAGGTTAAATGCGTTGCTGCATTATGTCCATGGTTAAGGATACGGTTTGGGTAGGTTTCTTATAAATTATTAATGTGTTCCTGGGTCACTAGGATCTCTGTTTCACACGTAATCTAGAGGTAACACGTGTAGATGTAATGAGTAATTAAACTTTGAGTACTCATGAAGTAAATTGCAGCGTGTCGGAGCCTCCATAAGGAGCGTTTGCGGTCCTTTAATAAGAAAAGCTTAATTTAAATTCAGATTATTGTCTCTTCATAATTTAGCTTCCGGGGAGACTCTTTGAAGTAATAAACTATGTATATGCATACGCTATATCTGGGAAATAGAAGGTTGCACCATGGCAGAAACGGCAAAAAATAACGGTAAAGTAGGCGATAAAAAGTTGAACGAAAAATATTTAGAACATAGTGGAGAACCTTTTGAGCAGCTTTTATAACTTAAAAACTGCAGAGAAGCGTAAACAAGGCTACAGAGATAAGAGATTGCTTAAAGGTATGTATTATTAACCCTCCCATTATGTTTAGTTCCGTATCGTTTAGCGATTAAACGAGGTAAAAAGCTGCTCCGGGTAATAAAAACGTCAGCCATATTGCAGTTTCCGCCTAGTTTCACTAGACGTTACGACTGTAGTCGAAAATGTAGACCGCGGAATAAAATAGATCCGAAATAATTAAATTCTTGAACTGCGCGCCGTTAATGTACGTAGACGATAATTTTGAATAGAACTTTTCTTTCCAAAATACGTACATTTACCTATGCTCATAATTATGGTTATAATGAACTCTCGTTGCGTTATTATTGGCATATGCAAATTCATCGTAACGCATCTGCTGTATGCGAGCTTTGGCAGACTCTCGAAACACTGTTGCGTAAATTTTCATAGATTGCGTGATAAACAGAACGGTAAAGGCTCGATTTTTATCGCCGCGATATTATCATGGTTTCATTGTACTCTTGCGATATTACGTCCCAGAGAAACGATATTTTGCGATTGTTGAGCGACGAAGGTCCTCGGTTTTCCTTGGCAACGACTCTCATGCTTCGAGCTTGCTACATGACCCTCGTTTTTTGGCCAAGTTACCGCAATCACGACCCTGAATAGACCTCCTTGACTTTTACTTTTAATTCGAAGCATTCGCGAAATTATGCGCGAATGTCACCAATATTTTACTCTAGATCGTTTCGTTCGGACCCTCATCTTCACAATTTGTCAATGCATATATCCCTTCGGGTTCTTTTCTGTACACCGCTGTATCAGTGGTGGTAGAACTAAAAAATTTCAAATTCCACTAGCTACATGTCTGCTTGACATTTTTATCGTAGAACTGCATTAAAAAACACAAGTTTGAAAAATGCAGCTCAAAAATATTCTCCGTGTTCCGCCACTATCAGTCTTCAGGGTGTTTATTTTGTATCGAACGTTTTGTTGTGGTCTCCGTACACAGAGACTTCTGGCACGAGGACGACGACGAGTACGAGGACGAGGACCTGGACGAGGACCCGTACGAGAATGATCGAACGTTAAACGAGAATCGAACGAGTTCCGAGCTGGAGGATCGACTGACGGTGTTCGGGGATTCCGTGTGCAATTACGCGACCTCGATGGACTACAGAAACACGATCGACCTGCGAGAGATCGGCGTGGAAACGAAGAGGGACACCCTGTTGGATCTGAAGTCTGGCCAGGCAGCAGTGTCGAGTTCCTTTCGTCTGCTGCAGACTAGGTTAAATATAGCCGGTGGTATGGCGCACGCTCGCAACAACATGGTCGCCGATCATCATCCTCGTCACCATCATCATCATCAGCAGCAGCAGCAGCAGCAGCATCAACAACAGCAGCAGCAGCAGCAGTACCGTTACGAGGAACACGAGCTGCGGCAGCACCAGCAGCACCAACGTCAAGGGTGGAGCAAGGAGGAGTGCTTTAATTTTAGATTCACGGATAAATCTCAAAGCGCGCCCAGTCTGCCTAGCAGCGTCGACGAGTCCGCACACGGTCCATGCTCGTTAGCAGCGTATTCATCCTCCTCAAGGGTCACGTCTTTCGTTTCCACCTCGAACCTCTTCGAGAATTACACGAGGGTAGCCAGTGTGCCCATCGATTTGAATCTCTGCGGCGTTTCCGTGGTGAACCCGGACGACGATGCGTGTCATTCTCCAGTGAGCTCGGACGATCACGAAATGGCGGAGGTCACCGGTGTCCTGGAGAAGAAGAAATTGGGTAGTGTGGAGGAGGTTCGACAGAACGGTGAGGAGGAGGAGATGAAGGGCTCGTTGACCAGCTCCGTCAGAACGCAGGCTCCACAGAGTGTGATCGTCGACGGCAAGATGGACGCCGGGAAAGTCGTGGACGACGCGAAGGTCGAGGAAGATCGGTGCTCGAAGCCGAAGAAACAGATCACGTCGACGGTGAAAACGCAGGATCGTGGAAATTGTGTGCTGGATATGGCCATCGCGATCGAGAACGACGTAGACGGCGCGATAGACGACGCGATGAAGCAATTCAAGCGAGACGTGAAAGAAGCTACCGTCTCGAACGGTAACGGTATCCAGAGAACGCCTTCCGGTAGGCCGCGAAGGGTGAAGAACAATGCCAGCTACGAACTGGCTCAGCAATTCGAGGTCGACGAGAAAAGCTTTCGAACGGGTAGACTCCGCAAGGATGTCAGCAACGAAAACGAAAAGAGCCCGAAATCGCCGAAAAGCGGTAGTAAGAAACGAGTGTTGAACAACGCCAGTTATGAATTGGCCCAGCAGTGCGACTACATAAAGGCCCTACAGTCCTCCAGAGGCGCGTTCCAGAGGATGGACGCGTGCGACGAACTCGAAGAATTCGCGTCGGGAAGATCTTCGCGGCTGTGGGTCACCGACATAGTGCAACAGATGAGCAGCAACTCGACGTCGAATCTCAGTAGCCATTACATCGACCCTTACGTGGACACCAAGAAATACTCGAAATCGATGGAGGATCTGAGCGCTCAGTTCTCCATGGGTCCGTTCACCAGGATCCCGATAAACGAGCTGGGTCAGCGGCTGAAGAAGCAGAAGGACGAAACGCTTTTTGATCAGATAAAAAAAAACTCGGATCCATTTTCAGCCTATGGCGAAGGTCCTAAAGCGCGTACCCTAGTAGACGACGAGATAGATTATCCCTGCTTGGAAACCAAACCCATAGGAGCTTCCAGCCTGGAGGGGGGCGTATCGCGCGAGGAAACAAACGCTCGGAAACCCCAGGAACCATCCCCAGTACACGAAAACGTTCCCCAAGACGAGTCACACAAATGTTCGAAAACCACGATATCAAACGTAGTTCCGCAGATCACGATGGACCACGAAGCAACCGTCGAAACGGACCGTTCGAAGAAGTGTTTCATCGGCGACTTCTATCCGGAGAAGATCGTGCGGCTGCAGTCGCCGGAGGAGCAGCGATCCGCCGAAGAGGGTAGTAACGAGGAGATCGGTCGGTCACCGTCGTCCGCGAGCAACAGAAACGCCGGCGAGCGATTGTGGAGGGTCATAGTGGAAAAGCAGGTCGCGGAGAAGGAATCTTCCACGGAGAAGGTTGCGGACGAGAGAGAGAAAGAGGAGGAGCCGGAGAAAGAAAGGGAATCGGTGCAGAAGAAGACGAAGAACGAGGCAACGGAAGCAGCGAGGGGACACAGTGTCCACGTTGTTCGTTGCCCCCCACCCGGCGGTAACGGCAGCAACAG